CTTCTATACCTTGTCTGATAGGTTGTCTCTCGACATCTTCCTCTGCTACCATGATTTGGTAGTATCTTGACCTTAAGTCAATCCTTGATAAGTATTTCACCTTTCCCAACTTATCAAACAAGTCCTCAATCCTTGGTAAAGGGTTTTTGTTCTTCTTTGTATACTTGTTGAGCAACTAATAGTCTATGCATATGTGCACAGATCCATCTTTCTTTTTCACAAATAACACTAACGCCCCATATAATGACTTGCTCAACCTAACATACTCTTTATTCACCAACTCTTTAAATTGGTGTTTGAGCTCCTTAAGTTTCTTTTCGTTCAACCGATAGAGGGGACAAACCATCACCTTAGCACTCTCGACTAGCTTGATCTTATGTTTTATCAGTCATGTGGGGGGTAACCCCACCGGTAACTCTTCTAACATGGTATCTTGAAATTGGTTTAACATCTACTATATCACTAAAGGTACTTTTTCTATTCTTGTTTTTTGTCACTCCTGACTGAGAGTAAACACACAAAAATGTTGTATTGGTTCCTTTAATGAGTTATCTTCTCATGGACACCAAGTTCAAGCAGGAGTCTTTAGCCTTATATTGCCTTACCTTTAAATCCTAGGCCTCCACTCTGGATTATTCTCCTCAGGCATTTGCCAGTACCACAAAGTTCCTACCTTTTCCATACAAGGTTACCACAAACCAATTGAACCAATCCATCTCAAATCTTATTATGTTAAACACAGTGAAATCCATGTTTACTTTCCATGTCCCTATTTCAACTCTTACTTGTCAAAATACCTCACCTTAAACAAACTTTATAGTCCTCGATTCACCCAACTGCTACACTATTAGTCCAACTTGCTGGATTATGTCTGCAGCTATAAAATTATTCAAGGCACCCGTATTAATAAGGATCTTAATAAAGCTACCTCTAAGCTTCTCTGAGAGGGTTAGTAGATGTCGCAAATGACTCTCCACCAAAATTTCTTATGTAATGAGTAACTTTGAGCTAAGGATTGGATCATATACCTCACTTTGGATTTCACCTAACTTAATGGCTATATTAACTTTGGCCTTCTTCGAGTAGGAGCATTCTTTCGAAAAGTGTCCTGCTTCATAGTAATTGAAACATATGTTGTTTCCCACACTACTAGCCGAGTTAACCTTTTTATTCGTGGGTTTATCCCCTTTCGCTTGACTCCTATTTGTACTTGCTCATTGGCCACCAAATTTACCTTTCCAAAACTTTGAGGACTCATTCTTAGAGAAACTCTTTTTGAATTTCCTTTGCTATATGTCCCTCTTGGTTTGGCTCATTTTCTAAATATAGACCCTAACCCCATTATATTCCCCTTTCACAAGTTATCATTAAAATGCACCTTAATAGCTGTATCTAATGTTTCCTTGTAGTTGGTTGGGTTCCAATGCATCACCTCGTCTCGAACCCAAGTCTGCAAGTCTTATATAAAGGCATGGAATGCATCCATGTCACCGATGTCCGTGACAAGTATCCTCTTTGCCATAAATGCATTCACATACTCTTGAATGGTTCTTGTTTGCTTCAGCTTATTCAGCTTATCCCTTAGGTGCAGAGTAACATTTGAAAGAATGTAAGTTGCACAGATCCTTACCTTTATCATTTCCCAAGTGGCCATCAGTTCTTCATTGACCTCTATTATTCTCCACCAAGATTTAGCATTATCTGTCAAGTATGGTTTTGCACTTCGGACCTTCTCCAAGCTCAATAAATGCAACGCTCGGAAGTAATCCTTTATATCATAAAACCAATCCTCCACCACTTTATAATCATTCACTCCCTTGAAGACCGGTGGGGGTTTTGGTTTGTACTTGGGAATTGCTTAAGGGATTGATTCCACTTTGGTTTGTTCAACTTTGTTCAGTTCCGCCTCAGTCCCCTCCTTTTGCATTGCCAACATTTGCAATTTTTCTTCTGCTTTTTGTCATGCTTTAGCTTGTGTATGAGAATCTCCAATAGGGCATTAGTCTATACTAATTGTCCTTCTAAAATATCTAATGAAGTCTTGAAGGACCAAACCTCACCACTGGACTCCTATTTGAAAGTTTCCTCACTAAAGTCCTCATGCAAGGATTCCTCATCCATAGCTTCTTGTTTGACTTGAGGCTCCAGCTCTAGAGAAGGTTCCATCTTCGCCTTGGTTCTCTTATGCTCTGCTTTAGCCATCTCCTAATAATCTACCTCTATCCTTTGTTAAAACTAAGGAAAAGGCTTTGATACCAAATTGTAAGCTATAATTTTTCCCTTCTAATTTGCTAGCTTACCTTGTCCATCCGACCACTACTACCTTGGCTTTAGTTAAATTCCCTTGCCAAAGTTCCTACTTATGATACTAGCTCCTACTTAGTCCTACTTAATTTCAACTACTCATTGCACGAGCAACGGGGTGTTACCCATCCATCCACGAATTCCAAAATTCTCTCCCAATCCCCTTCTCCTGGTTAGATTAGATTTAAGGTTCGGCTACACTCCTTACAAACACAAATAGCTAAACACATCAAGTTTCTAAGTTTCTAAAATCACTTGGTACTATAAGACTTGATTATGGGACCCTTTAATTCACAAGCCTTAGGTGCATTATTTACTTCAAGATCTCAAAGGGAAACATCATGGCTTAATGACTCAGTGTGGGTACCCCTACTCCCCCACTTCCATCTCAAAGGAAAGGCCTAAGCCCTTAGGAATGAGCAAAGACCAATGAGCTACATAATACTCAAGTGGGGCACCACTTCACATGAGTTGGGAGCACCATAGTCAGTTTCCCTTCCGAGAGTGGGAGCTGCTCTTAAGCATTTCCTCAAGTGACCTCCCTCACACCATCTAACTCCATGCTCACTCCTACCTAAAGCCCTTAAACCCCAGTGTCAACTTTAAGTTAATTTGGAAGCACTATTGAAGAATTCCTTCAAGATTAATTCCTAAACCTCATTATTCCTACAATACTTTTAGAAACCCCTGCAGCCCCCCCCTCTCCCCCCCCGGGAGACACACTTTGTGCTTTCACCCCATGATCTGTATTAATATTTAGACTCGGTCTCCAACTCGATCTTAAACTTGATTTTGGATTGGATCTCAGACTTGATCTTGGATTGGATCTCAGACTCGACCTTAGACTTGGTCTCGAACTCGATCTCGGACCCGACTTCAAGCTCGGTCTTTGGACCTCAGGCTCAATCTCAAACTTGGTCTCGAATTCGGTCTCAATCTTGATTTCGGAGTCGATCTCGAACTTGGTTTCATCCGATGAACTCTTTATCATTTTGGTCGTGGTTTTAGGCATTCTTTAACTTACGCCACCTCAAAGAGTTAGTTCTTTATATTTTTTTGGCTTCATTTTATTTGTTGGTCTTGGCATTAGGATGTTAGATGCTCTAAGACTATTCCTACATTGCTTTGTGCTTTTGTCCCTTCATTCTTTGGGCTAAATGCTCAAAAGTTGCTCTATGCTTTAATTCCTTTGTTCTTTGGTTACAAGCTTGGGAGTTTAGCTCTATACTTTCATTCAGTGGCCCAAAGCCCTAAAACTCAAGTTTTACTCCACTATCCTTAAACACATAGCATATAGCACATGGTATATGGTGGTTTAAGTTCCCTTGGTGGTTATCCTATGGTAAATCACCATAGGATAAAAGGTGAAAACCACATGTGCTACACTTACTATTTGTGCACCGGCTCTATGTCAATTGATTGTTGTTCCCTACATTAAGATAATTAGTCATCCCATGGCTAGAGATTTCACCATGCACATGAAATATCAAAAACAATTTGCTTATACTAGTCAAAACTCAAGAGCAATATGATGGATAATATCACAAAGATATCTTAGACAAAATTATCAGTGAGTAAATCTTAAATTAGAATACAAAAGTATTTCAAGTAAATTATCAATTGATAAAACAGAAAGATCATTATAGTTTGAAAACATAGGATTAACTATCCAACAAAATTTAATAGCAAGTATATCATAAGAAAAACTTAATGATACCAAATATTGTAGATAGCATGCCAAACAACTTATAAAAAACAGCACAAAAAACACAAAGTATCATCGATTAATAAGCAAAATGAAAAACTAATCCAAAATAACATATGGTAATGCAAAAAGCCAAAAGTTATAAAAGAAAAAAAAAACAATTAACCACTAGAAATCATCAATCACCTAATCAAAAGAGATGTATAATCATTATCAAAAATTACAAAAAATAGCCAATCATCCATCAAACTAAATTTGGAAAGTGTAACCTTTGATATATTGCTTTGCATAGTGTATGTTGTGAAGCTTATATATTGTTCAGGCTAGAGGTGGTTTAGCATATGTCCAAGCCATGTTTACCATTGGCACAACATAGGCAGACTGAAATTAGCACTAACTATACCTTTGACCAATTGGTGGCATTGAAGCTTTGGGGCTTAATTTTCTGGAGTGAGCACACTAGCACCCAAGTGTCACTATTATCCTGCATAACCATATACCACAACATTGGGAATACCTTGTGAGTTGTCATCTACAACATTTTCTTCAACTAGAGATAGAGGATTACCACAGCAAGACTAGAATACCAGAAGAAGTTTTCCAAGGCACAACTAGAGCACTTGTTGAAAGTACTCCAGTATCACTTGTATGAGTATGGATGTTCAGCCCTCTTGGTCCTTGAGCACCTGGGCACCCCAAATCATGCAGGAAAAGGACTTATTGCTGCCAAATTAATATGCACTCAGCGACAAATAAAAGTACAAATCACGAGCTTACTTCAACCATCATCTGATTCGATCATGTGTGAGAAATAAAAAGTGCCGGACAAGAATTTATGAAGGCTTCAACCTATAAAAACCATGTGAAAGGTGCTCAAAAGAAAGTACAGGTGTGGATCCCATATGCAAAGTCATAGTAGTATAACATACAATGGACCTTTAGTTGAGGGAATTATGTTAAAAATTGAAATTTCCATTGGAGCAAATTGGAATTCACAGAACTGATTTGAGTTATAATTTGATTTGAATACAAAACTTTTTCTTATTTACACCCTGAGCAGGGTACCTGAGGTGGAGCACCTGGGAAATTCAGACTCGAGGTCCAAGCAAAGAGAGGAATGAAAAAGCATGGCCAGATCCCTTACCAACACCTATCCCACCCCATCGCTAGCATCCGGTTTTGGTTATGACTGGCTGTAAACCGAAAATTTCAAAGCATGGGAAATCATCTTATATCTTCTTGTGTTCTCTTGGCGCCTAGTCAATTTATTCAATGACTAAACTCAGTAGCAAGAGGCAGTGAAGTCAAATAATTCGCAGATGCACGAGGCAAGGGGAGGTACCGTGTCTTTCGCAAATTTCTTCCTCTCCATTTAGAACGCAGACGCCCAACCTGGTCCATCGCCCACAGGTTGCTCTGGCCGATCCACCTCAAACTTTACTCCGTCTTTGCCTTTTCCCCTGGGCGAGGCTTTCACTTCGTTCAGCGGGTGATCGAAGCTCTGGAGCCCCTGCTCGCTCGAGAAGAAGCATCCTGTGCACAACCAATCAATAGAAATTATATTCTATCGCAAGCTAAAGTCCTCCTTACCAGGTGGAAATGGAGACGAAGATTTGAAGCACCCATTCTTGAGAACGTCAAAGTCGTCCGAGAAAACCAGCGAGCCTTCCGACGTGACCCCCCAAAAGAGCGAGACTTTTCCTTGACAATCCTGAAAAGAGGAAAGTAAAAGCGTAGAACGAGAGCGACAGAAAGTCCTCCATCACGAAGAAAATTCTTGGCCACTCACAGCACTGACGAGTACGCGTTGTGTTGTGTTGTCAAAGAGGACGAAGGCAAAGTGGCCCTTCCACTCGCGGATCATATGGTCAGTCGGGTATGGTGCCCGGTCTCTCAAATTCCTGTACGCTTCGATGACAATGAGCACCTCGTTGGCCACCTTCGAGAGGCCATACTGCTGCTTGAGCGACGTGAGATTCTCTAGGATGCCTTCAAACACGCAGAAGATATCGTCCGCCACAGCAAAAGTCCTGGTGTTCATCGTTGGTCAATATTCCATCTCATCCAATCCAATCCCTTGCAAGAACTTTCCTGGGAGAAAAACTTGCCTACCTCGGCTTGAGCAAGGCCTGGCGCTCATGGCTGTAGGCGATCGCCGCTTCGCCGGCTTGAAACACGACCGCTTCGGGATAGGATTCTCGGAAGGAGCTCACCAGATCGGGCGATCCTCCCTCATTTCCTCCATCGCCATGGTCACCGCAAGCTGCGCTGAGCTGCTCAGGCGCTTGCGCCACCGATTTCCCGAAGATCGCGAGCATTCTCACGAAACCCTAGCTCCTCCTGGGTCACTGAAGAACTCGTCCATGCCCACAGCGACACGTGTTCCCAGCATTGCACAACACGTGTCCTTTGGTAAGGAGGGAATATGCTGATAAATTCGATCGTACACGCTGGCGGGAATTTCAAGCTACGGGAATATAATGTGTGGAAAAACTGGTGGCCTTCCTAGGTTGTTTCCTCGGCTGGTGTTCTTCATCTTCGTCACTCTGTCCCCCCTCCCAATGATCGATCGTTTTTCTATCGAGGACGGCAATTTCCAGCATCGCCATGGCACCAAGAGCTCCTGCCGGATCATCGCCATCGCTGTCTTGCTCTTCTTCTTCTTCTTCTCCCTCGGCTTCTTGCACTTGTTGCAATGAATCCCAGCTGCGGCGAGGTCCCTGGACGTCGGAGGAGGATGCGCTGCTCCTGCGCCACATGAAATTGTATGGGGATCGAGGGAATTGGCGAAAGGTCCCCAAGGCGGCAGGTTGTTCTTCTGTGATTCCGTTCTTGCATGGGTGAATTTGCGCGATTATTCTCTGAAATATGGTGTTCTTGCTGCATTTTCTCATCGAGAATCCATGGTTTTGATCGCGATTTTGTTCCTGGCCAGGCCTGCTGCGGTGTGGAAAGAGCTGCCGGCTACGATGGCTCAACTATCTCCGCCCGGACCTCAAGAGGGGAAGTTTCTCAGAGGACGAAGACGCACTGATAATCAAGCTGCATTCGCTACTTGGCAACAGGTATCATACACACCAAGAAAAACATTCCATCCACTTGGGTTTGATTTAAAATCTCTCTTTGAAAATCTTTTCTGTCCAAGCAGATGGTCTATCATCGCGGGTAGAATCCCTGGCCGCAGCGACAATGAGATTAAAAACTACTGGAACTTCCATCTCGGGAAGAAGCTGCTCAAGCTGGGCATCAATCCAAAGACCCACAAGCCACTGGCCAACAGCCCAATGGCCGAGCCGACATCCAAGTCGAGATCCTCCAAGTTTTGCCACAGCCTCTCCTTCTCCTCGATTTCCTCCGCGCTCACGGACGATGGCAGCGCCAACGAGTTTAAATCCCCCATCTCCAAGTCGAGCTCGCCCGATTGCTCGCGTCCGATAGATTCCAGGAACAAGCATGACTTAAAGCATGATCCCACGAGTAGTAGTACAAGGGTTTCAGGGAAAGACCATCCTAGAGAAACTCACATCACGGATCACCAAGATTATCTCGGATCCGCAACATCGATAGACACGTCCGAAGAATCAAGCATCGAAATCAGCGACGACCAAATGGTTCCCGGACAACACCATGACCACTTCTTCGCGAATGCCGCTCACGAGTTGGAGCTCCAAAGCCAGATGATAATGTTTGGGATGGATCAAGTCTCGTCGCTGTGGCTGCCGCCCAGCGTTGATTATTCCGAGCCTGGATCCCACGCTCCAGAAGGAGACAATGGAATCATCTTTGGCAGCGAGTCTTTTTATGTACGCTAAGACAAAAGAAAGAAAAGAAAGAAGTGATCCCAGGGAGATTTAGTCTTGGATTCAAAGTCGGGCGGATTTTCTTGACTCACCAAAAAGTATGTTCTGTAATTCAAGTGATTTCTCTCTTGACCATGCTAGCACGTGCGACCCCTTCCATGTCCGTACCTGCTGTTCCCACTACCGTACAATAAAGAATGGGGAAGTACGACAATTCATGCTTAAGATGCATCACCCCGGAGGAAAGTAACGCACGACTTGAGCTTGTTCGTGAAGAAGTCTTCCACCCTGTGGAGCACAAGGACTCTACTGATTATAAACAAGAAGAAAAGTGCTGGATCACCTGTTTGCGCACTTGAAGTAGATCGTCTCCGGTGAGTTGTAGACCCTGGCGTTCCCAAACATCCGTTTCAGGTCGGCTACGAACATTTCCAGCGTCAAGTAGAATTGCTCGCTCTCCAGTCTCCTGGATATGGTTTTTAAATCTGGAACGAGAAGACCAAACTTAAAACGAGATGGAGCAGCTTACGGAAGTTACCGATGGGATCTTTGATTATATCGTAGTAGTCCGGAACCTCACGCGCATCCACCGGTTCTCTAAACGGCCAAGCTTCCGAGTGATCGCAAACCAGCTGGAGAACCAAAAAACTCTTCTCGATCGCGAAACCATGGAAGTAACAGTACCTTTAACATGGAACGCATGAGTCCCTGAAGGGCTTGCCTCGTTGGCGGCCCATCATTCGGTGAGTTTACAAATCTTATACGAGAAATGGTCAGTTGGTCTGGCGTCCATCCAGCTTCCTCTGTTCCAACAGCGCAGACATTAGCTCAACAAGATCCTCATACTAGGAAACCACGTACTTAGACCTGGTATGTCTTCGGGTCTCAAAGGCCTCCGTGGAACATTGAAGTCCTTCTGCAGTGCGTTCTTTAGCATGAAATAGAAGAAGAAGAAAAACATGTCGACCTTGAGGATTTCCAATCCAGGGTAAACTATGTGGCAGTTTGAAAGCTCCCGAATTTTCTCATCTATCGCCTGGAACATAACGTTGCTAAAGAGCGATAAAAACTGCACACGGATTTGTTACCTGCCGTTGTAATCTAATCATCGCCGGGAGATCTATGTAAGGTAAGATTGGATCGATCCTACATTCCATTAATGTTCCACCGTCATAATCTTTGATGTATCTGCAACGAAAAAAGTATGAGAACTGAAAAAGAGTGAAACTGGAACCTTACCCGTGCCAGATCTCTTTATCTAGAAATATTTCCTTGGTAAATCCCTGATTAACATTCACGTTCAGTTTTCTATCGCCTTTGGAATAGCAAAAACAAAAATCACCTGCTTTGAAAAGTAACCCACTGCATTGTTATCGGCATACGTGAGGAAATGAGTAAGCCCGTCTTCGTCCCGAGCATACTTTTTTAGGTGGTTCATGAGCCTCGTGCCAAAGCCTTTTACTTGCTCGTCCGCTGTGATTGCACAGAATGCTATCTCTCCAAACTTTTGGCTGCACTGAGGACAAAGTCGTTTCATCAAATCATACTGACTGTGCATTTCTTTATTCTAATGCAGACACACACACCTTGGATACGGACGATATGTGATGCCGCCTATAACTTGGTTGTGCTTCACAATCATCATAGACTTGTGGCTCCTGCTCCACAAGGTGTTGGAAAGTGAGAAAAAAAGGACCTTCTATACCTGTCCATGACCAAACGGACGATGTAATCCTTTGGCATGTTTGGCAGCTGACGAGAAAAGATGTTCTTGAGCCCAACAAGCCTGAGAAGAAAATTAACCAGTTGTTCACTGCATTGCTAAAAACTATACCAAATCATATGTTGGTCGTCACCGTCATTGCTGTAGCAGACAAACTTGATCCTTCCAGCGTCTTCCTGCCCAGCAAAAGAAAAAAAAAATAGAGAAAGGTTGGAATTTGATTCCAGGAGAACATGGAAAACCAAGTACCTCTTTCTTGAGATTTTCCTCTCGCGCACAGTACGCTCCACTGGTTTGGATCGTCTCCACCAGCGTAGGCTTGGTCGATTCCTCCTTGACGGTCACCGTCACAGGCTGTGGTAAATTGCCAAAGGCCATTTGCGACGATAGCAAATCCTTTTGCTCGGCTGCTTCCACCTTGACCGACGAAACCACTGGAAGGTTCAATGCGGGCGGGCGAAGCGGTCCTTGCTGCAGAGGCAAGCTCGTCGTCGTCTCCTGGTCGTCCTCATCGTCTTGCTCTCCATCCTCTTCCTCATCCTCCTCCCCTTCGTCGTCATTCCCATCCTCGTCCTCGTCGTCATACTCCTCCCCTTTGCTGCCACCGCCATCGCCTCCTCCACCTAGCTGGCTCCCATTCTCCCTGCTATCATCCGGCATTATCCCGGATTCCATCGCATGAGAGAACCCTAGCCCAAACACGGAAGACGGATTGTGATGCATGCCTACCATCGCTGGAATGCTGGAGGGCTCGTCCAAGAGACCGGCAGCTGCTGCGCTCCTCTTGCGCTTGTTGTGGCCAGCTGAATGCGACGGCGATGGCGATGGAGTCGGGGACTTGAAGCTCCCGTCCGCCATAGCCGAGAAGAACCCTAAATTGAGGAGCCTAAGGTAGAATATTCCGTCACGTCAAATTGTGCTTAATAGAATATTCTGTAGCAATACATTCTAAATACATGCAAAATAGAATATTCCGCCAGATATTGGCGTTTCCTTAGGGCAAGGATAGGGTTTTCTCTTTGGATCGATCGATGGAAAGCAATAGAGGGGAGGCGGAGCGCTGCGTCCAGATAGCCAGGGCAGCAATCGAATCTGGCGACAAGTCGCGCGCTCGTAAGTACGTCTCCATAGCTCGGCGCCTCCGGCCGGAAGATCTAGATGTAAGAGAATTGGCCTCCAAGCTGGGGCTTGGGGAGGAGGACGACATTCGAAAGAGCTCGGGAGGATCTAAGAGCAGCTCGCAGAGGAACGGCGAGCACGAATCCGAGGTCAAGGACACGGCCAGCAGCACCACGGCCAGCAGCGATCCCTCCCCGGAGCAGATCGAGATTGTGGTGCGCATCAATCGGACAGTAGACTACTACGAGATTTTGGGGCTGGGGAAGGAGTGCTCGGAGGAGGACGTGAGAAGGGCGTACCGGAAGCTCTCGCTCAAAGTCCACCCGGACAAGAACAAGGCCGCGGGCGCCGAGGAGGCGTTTAAGTCGGTGTCTAGAGCGTTCCAGTGCTTGAGCAACGCGGAGCTCAAGGAGAGATATGATCGATACGGGCCAGAGGAGGCGAGGAATCTCGCCCAGCACCAGCACCAGCAGCAGGGGATGCGCCGGCGCAGGAACGATTTCTTCGACGATCACTTCGATCCGGACGAGATCTTCCAGGCCTTCTTCTTTGGCGGCCAGGGTCGGAACTTCCAAAGGCAGCATTTTGTGAGAACTCCCGCGGGGATGGCCAGGGCCCCCGAGGGTGGACAGTCGATCAACCTCACCGGGATCGTCCACCTGGTACTCATCTTTCTGGTGATCGCTCTCACATCCTTCCCGATGTCGCAGCCCAGTTACTACTCCCTTGAGCGGCAATCGCCATATCTTCACGAGCTAAGTACTCACAACCGAGGTGTGCCTTACTTTGTCAAGTCGCCGAGTTTTCACCAGGAACACCCGCTTGGATCGAGGGTCCGCGAGCAAGTCGAGGCCCAGGTTGAGCGAGACTACCGCGATGTTTTGACGCACAATTGCCGGGTGGAGCTCAATCTCCGGGCCTGGGGAAAGATCAGCGAGACTCCAAACTGCAAGAAGCTGCAAGCGTTCTAAGCGAATCTAAAGCCAGGAAAATCAAAAGAGAAAAAAGAGGTACTTTTACTTTGTGTATAGCAGCTTGTTAGAGCTGTAGCTACCATTGCTACACAATAAGATTTCTATTACAGCATTTCTAGATGGCCCAGGAACTTGGCAGAAACATTAAGTTGATCTACACAAGCACTCCAAGAACACGGGAAGAGAAAAAGTTTTAACTGGCGAGTGATTAGGGCATACGTGGCGTTCCACATGGACTGTGGGGTTTAGTTTATTTTGTGGGCTCATGCCGTACTATTTGGGGCATTCTTTCGTACAGCCTGTCGTTCTTAAGCTCCCATGGCGGTCCGTTTCGACTGCTGGCGAAATACCGTGGTCAAGGCCCTGGCGGAGCGATCGCGCTGGAAATGTGAGCGCCTTGCGATCCATGACAGGCGCGCGGTGAATTCTTAGAGATTTCTAGGCAGGAAATGGGCGGGCCAGGGTGCGCTAGTAGCAGCAGCAGTAGCAACGCCATCAGCAGGGCGAATTTCTGGTCAGCTTTCCTGGGAGTTCTGGCCGCGCTGGTGTGCGTGATCCTCTTCGCCGCGGTCTACATGTCCGATGATGGCAAGACGATGATGCTCCTCTCGCGCAAGACCCAGTCGTATCTCCTCTGGTATCAAGACGGCCAATCCTCCGCTCCGGTGCGCTCCTCTATCCTCTTTTTCCACTTTCCCAGGATGCTTGGCCTGCGATCGGGTGATATTTCGAGAGATTCCAGCTCCGCGGCTCCGATTTCGCTCGAAATCTTTCCTCGCTTTCTTTTCTTGGTCCCAAATTCTTCCAGGTTTCCCTCCCCCAGCTCCGAATTTCTCCTTCTTCGAGCAAATCCCCATCGATTCTTTCCTCGGCGCCTGGAAATCGAAATCGAAATCGAAATCTGGTCGAAACTTCCTTGCTCGATCGATCAATGCCGTGGTTCTTTTAAACTTCTTTGTCTTTGTGTGATACATATCTATTGGCACTATTGTGGCTTTGCGCTAACCGTGGAGATTTTTTTTCCTTCCTTTGGCGCAGGACGTGAGCACTCTAAAGGCGAGTCTCGCGGAGGTGGCCTTCCGTAACAAAACAGTAATACTCACAACTCTCAACAAATCGTGGGCTGACAACGATAGCATGATCGACGCGTTCTTCCAAAGTTTCCGGCTGGGAGATGGCACCCGCGGGCTGCTCGACCATTTGCTCATCGTCAATCTCGACCAGGCCTCTCACACTCGGTGCTTGCAGCTTCACAGGCACTGCTTCAAGCTCGCCACCGATGGCGTCGACTTTACCGGCGAGAAGGTCTTCATGAGCTCCGACTATCTCAAGATGATGTGGAGGAGAGTTGAGTTTCTACACATCGTGCTCAAGCTCGGCTACAACTTCGTTTTCACGGTATGTGTATTTTTTTTTCTTCCATTTTTTTTTAAAGCACAACTTCTCGTCGTTTGGAACTGCCTGTTTGGTTTTGACTCGGCTCTTGTTCCCTGTCACGTTCCAAAGGGTTTGTTTTCCCCGCATGCTTTGGATGCCTTGATTGATTTGTGCCGGCTTCGTCTGTCCGTTCCACATGGTTCTTAGTTAAATTTGTTGTTTGCTTTATTGTTTCCGAAGATGACGAGAAAACTATTCTTGTTTGGTCAAGGAATCCGGAGAATTGTTTTCTATCTTTCCTCCTCAAGGATTTTGTGATGGTTATACTATCCTTGTAGAATTTATGTTTTGCTTGAACTTGTATGAGAGTCGTTCTATATTTAAGTTCGTGCCACTGTCATAAGAGCTGGATCTCATAAACTAAAGCTCTTTCGTGCTTGCAGGACGCGGATATAATGTGGTTTCGCGATCCCTTCCAGCACTTTTCTCCCGAGGCCGACTTCGAGATAGCTTGCGACCGTTTCAATGGAAACCCCGAGGACCTCAGGAACGATCCCAACGGTGGCTTCATCCACGCCATCTCGAGCCCCCGGACGATCGCCCTCTACAAGCTCTGGTACGAGTCGCGACTCAAGCACCCAAACCATCACGACCAGGACGTGTTTAACGACATCAAGCACAGCCCCCAGTTCAAGGCTCTCAAGCTCAAGGTTCGCTTCCTGGATACCAGATACTTCGGCGGGTTTTGTCAGATCAGCAGGGACTTCGACGAGGTGTGCACGATTCACGCGAATTGCTGCACCAAGCTGGAGAGGAAGCTTGTGGATTTGAAGCTGGTGCTCGAGGATTGGAATCGGTACAGGAATCTATCGTCCCAGGAGAGCCGAGAAGTGAGGATGTTTTGGAGAGCTCCCAGGGAGTGCTTACATTCGTTTGGGCATTGACAAGGATCGCCAAAAAGATAGTAGTGAGGAGATTCTTTGTAATGGATTCGTTTTGTAAATGTGCCTAAGGGGAAAGGTAATAAATTATCACCCTTGTACATATAGGGAAGCTCTGTTTAAAATTCTCCTCCTATTTTAGGGTTTAAGGGGTTATGGGGAGGACGAAGGGCGATGGCGCTCGCGGCAAGGGGCGGCCGTCCAGCAGCAGGTAATGCGTCGCTCGATCGGCTGTGGATTTAATGGAATTCCTGTGCGCAGCTTGGCGGCGGCGCTGTCGCAGGGCAATGCGAGCGCTGGATTTGGAGGATATGTCGGCAGCGCGCGGATTGACGCTGGGCCGAGTGAGGAGACGTATGCGGTATGGAATGTGGTGTTATTTCGGTGTAATTGTGAGGGATTGTGTGGTGTGGTAGAGTATCGATGGAGAAACGGCTGCGAATTTGCGGAGATTGTCGAAGAAGGATCCAATAACAAAGGTACGTTGCCCTTTACGTAGTGTCTAGTTCTGATATTCCTCTTGCTTTTTTTTCCTTTTTCAAACAGATAAAAGCTCTCGCTGCTTTGACTGCATTTTTCCAGGAGCGTCCAGCCGCGGAAGTTTTACCCGTTCTACCATCGTGGGTATGCACACCATCCTTTCCTTTCTCTTTGGCAGTACATCGATTTATCTTTTTGAGTTCAGGTTTTTGAATACAAGAAGCTAGTTTTCGATAACAGTCGTCAAACTCGAGAGGCCACACACAAGGCTATGACCAGTCTTGCAACTACGGTTGGGTATGTTAACTGTTCGTTCTTGGGTCTAGAAGTTGCTTAAAGTGCTGTTTTCCCAGGCGGTCACTGGCTCCCCATTTGCGGTCCTTAATGGGAGCTTGGTGGATGTCACATTTCGATCCGTTCTTCGAGGTTTCTGACGCTGCTAAGCAAGCACTTCAGGTTGTGTATTTCATATGTTGTTGCTCCTCTCAAATCAACTGTCCAGGCTGCTTTTCCAGGTCAAAAGAAACGATTGGAAGCTCTGACGTTCTGTGCGACAGATATCCTTGTTTACATCGACGATAATCTAAAATTGACCCCGCAAACGATTTCTGATAAATCAACTCCAGCAGAAGAGTCAGCTGAGAAGTATGAACGGGTAATCTTTTTAGTGTTCGCCGTCACATTTTTCACTTTATATTATTTCAGGTTATATCTTCCACCCTCCTTTCTTTATCGGCTCTTCTCACCATTCTCTTCACTTCGGTCGAATCGGAAACCGGGGAGGAAAGAGCAACCACAAATGAAATGCTTGTGACGGCGTCAGCTAAGCTTTTCCGAGATCACAAAATGTTTCAAGGTTTGGCAAAATCTGGGAAATCTCGTACGCGTTCGGCCGTATATCAAGCTATACAGGTCTACATACAACACGTCCCGCACGTTCTCCCAAACGACAACATGGAAGTGGCTGCGAAATTTATTCTTGGGACATTTCAAGAGAAAGACGCTGGCTGCCATCAGGCTATGTGGGACTTGATACTAGTTTTCACACAACGGTTTCCTCAGACCTGGGAATCTAGTTCTATCAGGAAAATTGTGCAACAAAGGTTTTGGGCTTTTCTCCGTCATGGATGCTATGGTTCACAACAGGTTTCTTATCCATGTCTGCTGCCGCTTCTTTCACTTATTCCTCCTGCTGCACTATCTCCACCGAAAGGATATTTTGTCGACTTTTTCACTAATCTTTGGAAAGGATGTGAGGAGGCCTCTTGGACATTCGATCAGGGAATGCTCCTACTTAATTCGACCAAGGAGTGTTTTATGTGGCTATTGTCGCACGAGAAAAGGTACAAACTTTTATTAATCTTGTAGTTTTTCACTTACCATTTTACAGGTTCCTGGGTGCAGAGGATTCATCGTTGCAACCTTTTTTCACTGAAAGCGTCTTATTTGGAATCTTGTGGAAGTCTTACGTTCAGACAAACGTCCAGAGGACATCCTCTTTGCTTTTATCCGATAAGTTTATTGAAGAGATAGGGAAATGTATTGTCGACATTGTGGGTGCACTGGACAATAATTCGCTGTCTGCGTTCTGGGATTGTCTTCGGGAGGAGTGTTCGGCATTATTTCTTGCGAACAACAGCCAAGTCAATGACCGTGTGCTACGCTTTTTTCTTATTTTCGACTCGTTTTCGGACCTCGACAAGAGAAGCCAGATTTTCAACAAGGTTGTTAAGCCATTTGTTGCCGATGGCTTTGGTTTTATAAAAAACTCGGTAATGCTTCTGTTTCGGTTTGAGAATTTCACTGACTAGCCCTTACATTTTGTAGGAAAAGCCCGAGGCTGTGAATTTGTTTACGGGTTTAGTAGGGACCTATGGGTTGCATGTATTTGATTTACTCGCTTCTCAGAACTGGAAAGGCAGAGACAACACAGAGTTGACGAGCTCGGCTGTAGAAGATGTTTTTTCGTCAAAACATCTACAATACCTTTTTCGAAATGAGCTGCTTCCTTGGTCTGTGAGTGGGGAGTTCAACAAACTCAAGGTTTATGTTCTTCTGACGTTTCTTGAAGATGAGATGTTCTTCAGGGAATGGGATTACGTGCTTACGTACTTTTCAGACGTACAGGACTCTTCTCGGATCAGTATCTTGGCTAGCCTTATTAAGACGCTGCAATCACGGTGCAGCTTACAGAATGAGGCTTATAAGTTGGAGAGATGGAAGTCGCCGAAGATTGACGAAGCCGTCTTAGGCGCTATGTCCAATTTCCAGGCATCGGCATTCGAACTGATAAGGTTTTCCGTTTGTGTTTCTTTTGGCGCTTTCTGAGGCTACCTACTAAGTGCAGGACAACTCTGGAGGGAGTTCTTTGCGAAGGATGCTATTTAACGATCTTGTCAAAGGGAACTGTCATAAGAGTTATGGAAGAATTTCTAAGGAGTATGGTTCTGGCGGTTTATAAGTCTAAGAACGAAGCGGCAATTTTATTGGCTGTTTCTGTTGCCCCTTCGTCTATTGAAGAAGGGGACGGTTCTACGGAGACGCTAGAAAGAGCCAAGGCTTCTATCGATACGTTACTTGCGTGCTGGCCTTCTCTAAGATATGTGGACGGAATAAATGAGCTAGTTATCGGAGGTCTTGGGATTATTTTCTGCCTATACTGGACATACGTGCAACCGGTATTGAAGGCAGATGATGAAGATGACGACAATGAAGAAAGTCTTACGACGACTACGTCTTATACCGATGACAATCTTGCGCAGTCTTTGCTTCAAGCTCGGAAGGACATACTCACATCATGCGCTGAATTCTCGGGGAGGCGGAGCCTGTATGAGAAGCTGATGTCAGGCGTAAGAAAGACGCTTTTGGAAGACCAACCAGAGGAATTTTACAACACTGCCGCATATTGGGTGCTGGACACGCTACATTTGACATGTCGCAACTCCGAGGATAGGCAAGGTGCCTTGGATTGTTTATTAGCTTCTGCTGATTATTGGCCCTTTTGGAGTACTGGAGCTCGCAGCCATCTCTTAGAGGTAAAAGTAAGGCTGCTTTTGTTTCGTTTAACTTGTGAAACTCTCTATTGTAGGCGAAGAAACATCACAGCATTTCAGCAACAGTTCTCGAGGTTACACGCAGTTTGGGTCCAGAAACAGTTTTCTTGGGCGAGGATATCAGTTTTAGGCCATGGCTTATTGTGGAGCTCCTCTGCACATCGGATTTGCATGGCCAACCTTTTGTTTTTAATTTCTTGCAGGCTTGTGCAAGAAGCGAGGGTGGAAGTCGACACAGGCTTTTACTGGACAACGTTCTGGATACACTGTTCCCCAGCGCTGCTGAGGGAGATCCTTACTTACGTGCTCTTCTCGGTGTTTTGAGAGCACTGATTGGCCATCACGGGCCTTTCGGAAGACAAGAAAGCGAGATGTTGTTTGCAAAGTACTTATCCGGATCCTCTTCAAGTTTTCTGCCACATGTTTTGGAAGCGATGATGCCGTCCTTGATCAAACGGAAGTCCGACGATACTCTCTTTCCTAGCGAAATGGAATCGAAAATCTGCGACTGGCTGAACTTCGCCTTGGAAGTTCCAAATTTTACAGGTTCGCTCGTCACTTCAATCGTTTCATTTAACTTAACATACTTTCATGTCTTAGATAACATGCAATGGATGCAAGTGGCCGTGGCTTGTTTTCCTCTAGATTCGACAGGTGGTGTGACTGCATTACTCTCGGCCGGGAAAGCAGATATATCCGAGCAGCAAAGGAACTTGCTGTTGTCTTTATTCCGCAAGCAGTCCGGTATTTTTGTGGACTTGCCGGCAGAGGAAGCCTCGAATCCGTCGGTTCAAGTTATGCTGGCAAGGCTAATTGCTCCAGCAGTGGCGTACTGCTGGCAGAACTTCGGCCTAGAGGATTGGACCTTCATACTCAGACAGCTACGGAAGTGGATCGAGGATGCAGTCGTTCACAGTGAAGAGTATACGGAAGCGGTTGCAGCGATGATGTCCGATGATGGAGAAAGTAAAGTCGTGAAGGAGGACAACGATATGCCGGAGAAGCTTCTAGGCACGGGAGTAACTATTCTGTCACTCACTCAATCCTTGAAGAGTTTCGAGAAGGCAGCTGGATCGAGATCCTTAGAAAGCTTGGAGGAAGCACAGTGGTCCAACTTTGAGACAAGAGCAGTAGACAACGTTTTCAGAGTTTTTCTCGCGACGGGACTTGCCGAGGCACTGGCTAGTGCTAATGACGATTTAAGACAGGATATATCTTTGCAAAGGTCGCGCTGCTCGTACCTCTGGGACCGGGTTGCCGAGTTACTACTCACTGCTCCAGTGAGAGTTCGTGAAACGGCCGTTCGTGCTGCGGACTTGTGGGGACTAGGAACAGGTGGCATCAGTGCTCTCTACGCGCTCTTATTTTCTCCGCATCCTCTTCCCTCGTTACAGTGGGTTGCCTACAAGTTTCTCTCAACCGAGCCACTTCAGCACCAAGCGGTTTCTTGGAAGCCCGTGGTTTCATCTTCGACGTCGGCTGAAGATGACCCGAGCGATTCGGATTTGCAGGTCGATACGTCTTTTGATTTCATACGGCCAGAGCTCCTAACGACACTTGGTACTCCTGCGAGCAAGTTATTCGGGGGTGATACTTCTTCCCTGGTATGACTTATCTGACGTTCCAGTTTTCTATGTCTCTAATCTCGCGTTTGCAGGGACACTACTTCCTTGCCTGGTCACTCTTTCTCACGCACCTCCAAGTTCTGGGAACTTCATCGGAGGCAAGAGACCGCTTGCTTCAATATGTCAAGGATTCCGACACGCCGAGCTCATTGCTCGACTGTCTCTTTCGACATATCCCTACGAAGCGCAACGTTAAAAAGGAAGATTTGCAGCTGTCTCCGGTGGTTGAAGCAGTCAAGCGATCAGCAGGCACAGCGTCTGTTTCGTTTGCAGTGGACGGCCTCTTATGGGGTGGTGGCAACACGAACGACTTCGCAGTTATTGCCGGGGCGATCTATGGATTGATCCTGAGGGTGTTACCGGCGTGCGTCCAGACATGGTTCGCGGGGCTGCGGGAGAAAGGAGCGGTTGCTGCGATCGAAGCCTTCACGGCTGACTACTGTAGTCCTCGACTTTTAGCGGAGGAATTCAATCAGGTAAACAATGCGCTGTGTTATTTTTTAGAGCTTCTCGAGCTGGCTTTCTTTTTTCTTTAGGTGCAAGCTGCTGCCATTGCCGAAGAGAACTTTATCTTCAAGGCAAACAGGTCGCTGCGAGAGGTGACTGTGATTTACAAGAAAGAGGAGGCTGCGATGGACATGACCATCAAGTTGCCGTCTTGCTATCCGCTCAAAGCCGTGGAAGTCGATTGCGGCAAGCGCTTGGGTATAAGCGAGACACGCATGCGCAAGTGGATTCTCTCCATGGCTTCTTTCCTGAGAAACCAGGTAAGCTTGGTTTCCTTTCTTTCTTTCTTTGCTTTCTATCTTGTTACTTACTGCTTTGCGAATCATAAACAGAATGGATCTCTCTCGGAGGCTGTGTTGATATGGAAGAAGAATGTGGATCGCGAGTTTGATGGCGTGGAGGAGTGTCCGATTTGCTACAGCATCATCCACACCTCCAACCATAGCCTTCCTCGGCTCGCCTGCAAGACGTGCCGCCACAAGTTCCATGGAGCTTGTCTTTACAAGTGGTTCTCATCCTCTCACAAATCCACTTGTCCTCTATGCCAGACTCCCTTCTAAACTTCTCTTTTCTATAAAATCTTGGTAGCCAACTTAACTGGTTAGACAATCAAACTATTGTGAATTGAAGATCCAACATGTAAGAAAAAAAAAATTCTAAAACACAGTATAACTTAAGGGTAAATCACAAAAAAGGAGAAATAAGTTACTTAAGCCCACTAATTATAGACTTACTTATGATAACCCTCTAATTTCTTTGGTCCTCAAGCCTCCTTTTCTCCAGGTTCTTTTGGCCAGAGAAAAAAGTGTATCTGGGCAAAAATGTGGGAAGCTCTGAGCTGCTGCCCCGAGGAGCTGCTCGAGTCGTCCGCAAGCAATGTAGTTCCCACCACCAGTGAAATTAGAGGAGGAGGAGGAGGAGGGGGATCTCTTGCAGAAGAGAGCAGCGATGGTCATGAGCAGGAGATCTTTGATTTTAGCGGTGAGAATATAAAGGATCAGACTAGCTTGTCACACTATCTCCATATTCTTGTCAAGGATGATGATAATACATCGCAATCTCCCCCAATCCAACCAGATTTAGCACTTGAGGGATCTAGCTTCCAAACCGCCACTACCACCATCACCACCACCAATGCCACGGATAATCTTGATTGCATTAGCACTAGCATCCAGGAGTTTAAAGATCATGGCAGCAGTTCTTCTTCATCTGGGCTTCTGGAAGATCTCGCTGGTGTCACTACAATATCAATCCCATCAGCACCACTACCACCTCCTCCATCTCATGATGCACCATCTTGTGATCACGATCATGATCAAATAGTAATCATGCCCTCTAGCTATGAACCAGGAGGCGAACCAGGAGGTGAAGAGAACGATCCGATCACAGAATTCATGAGGGAATTTCCTCCGATTATGATGGAACACTCCTCAGTAATTCACCATAATTTTCCATCTCCATTAAGCTTTCATCACAATGCTCTTCCCCCTCCTCATCCCGCTATACCATTCTTGCACCGCCACCCTCATCCCTGGAACCATCAACTCTACAGGAGCTTGAGCACTGGGAATTTGCCCGTGTCACCACATTTCCCACTGGGATTTCTCTCGTCACCTATCTCCAGATCAGTGAGTTCCATTCCAGCTGCGACCTCGGCCACTGCAGCTACCGCTGCTGCTGCTGCTGCTTCCAGTCCTGGAACTCCGGACGATCCAGCAATGAAAGTTGGCCGCTACAGCCCCGAGGAGCGAAAGGTGAGGATTGATAGGTACAGGCAGAAGCGATCGGAGAGGAACTACATCAAGAAGATCAAGGTTTGGAACTTGAACTGAAGCTAGAGTTTGTGGGTTTGCACTTGTATGTTGATGGTTTGTGTCTTTGTTTACGTATAGTATGCATGTCGGAAGACTCTAGCAGACAGTCGCCCAAGGATTCGTGGGAGATTCGCAAAGAACCAGGACGCTGGGCTTCCGCAGATGAAGAGGAAGCTCGACGACGATGACGACGACGAAGTATTAATCGAAAAATTAATCTCTCTTGGTTTCGTCTGAAGTTTCTTTCGTTTGGTTGTCTTGCAGTGTGATATACTAATGGGAGATGAGGAGGATTACTTTCTGGAGAAAGATGTTGGCTCAAGTAAGATTTGTGTTCTTCTTAAACTTATAGCAGCTCAGTTTTGGCAGATAAATTTTCTGTAGAGGAGCTCTGAGGCATAAAAACTGAAAACCGGGGTGGAGGGGAATAATATAAGATAGGATTCATTCTTTTGTATAAAATATCTGAAATAATTGTTTTATAGTGAACAGAACTTGTAATAAAAAGTTGATAATGGAACTCAAATCACAATAAAATTCAGAGTATAAAAACGCAATATAATGTAGCCCTAAGATTGGGGCAATCGCGGCCGTCCATCTTAAAACCCTAAACTGAAGGAGGCTTTAGGGTTCTAGAGCCGCCTCGCTCTTCTTCACTTCGCCGCCGCGCCGCCAGGTACGCTCGCCTCCCTCCGCCATGACGGACTCTCTCGTCTCCAAGGGCCGCATGGAAGGCCACACGGACTGGGTGACCGCCATCGCCACGCCCGTGGACAACAGCGACATCATCCTCTCGGCGTCGCGCGACAAGTCGGTCCTTCTGTGGAACACGCAGCACAAGGATCTCACCGAGCAGGACTTTGGCTTGCCACAGCGCCGCCTCACGGGCCACGCCCACTTCGTCCAGGACGTGGTCATCTCCTCGGATAGCCAGTTTGCGCTCTCGGGCTCCTGGGACGGCACCCTCCGCCTCTGGGACCTGGCCAACGGCAACACCACTCGGCGCTTTGTCGGCCACACCAAGGACGTCCTCTCGGTGGCTTTCTCCGCGGATAACCGCCAGATCGTCTCGGGCTCGCGCGACAAGTCGATCAAGCTCTGGAACACGCTCGGTGAGTGCAAGTATACGATCCAGGACCAGGACTCTCATACCGGATGGGTGAGCTGCGTCCGCTTCTCGCCGGTGACTACGAATCCCATCATCGTCTCCGGCGGCTGGGACAAGATGGTGAAGGTGTGGAACCTGACGAACTGCAAGCTCCGGACCAACTTAGCCGGCCACTCCGGCTACGTGAACTCGGTCACGGTCTCGCCGGATGGGTCTCTGTGCGCTAGCGGTGGCAAGGACGGTGTTGCCATGCTGTGGGACTTGGCGGAGGGGAAGCGGCTCTACTCGCTGGACGCTGGGGATATCATCCATAGCCTGTGCTTCAGCCCCAACAGGTACTGGCTCTGCGCTGCGACCCAGCAGTGCGTGAAGATCTGGGATCTGGAGAGCAAGAACATTGTCGAGGAGATCAAGCCCGAGCAGGTGTCCAAGAAAGAGGTACGTACCAGTCATCAAAATTGGATTTTTGGTTCTTTTTCGTTTTTGTTCTTAGCGATTGTCGTGTTTGTGGTCTCTGCTGCAGCCGACTTACTGCACCACTCTGAACTGGAGTATGGATGGATCCAAGTTGTTTGCTGGTTACACGGACGGTGTCATTCGCGTTCACAGCGTCGGGCACTAGAAGCAAAACGTCGCCGCCAACTGCTGATGTAGGCTACGTAATTTTCTTGGAGTACCGATAACGGAGAGGCTTTGTACTCGTTCGTCTTTTGAATCAAAAAGCTTTTTTTTCCAAATAAAATGCCACTTACTTTAGCTTTGAAAGAGTTGAGATTTTCGAGCCTTTCCTTCGAAGAAATCTGCCAGCAATTTCTCCAAATCTTCGGGTGTGTACTTGATGTACTTGTGAGGGTTTTTTCCTCCTTCCAGCGCAGGGCTGTTTGAAAATTGTTCGTTCGAAGCTAGCAGTTTTTAAAACAGCACTTGCTCACCCATAGCGCTTCAAGAAGTTGCGATAGGCTGGGAGCAAAACCTCTGCCACGGCAAGTCGAACAGCTTCACGGAGCTCAGCGTCTGGGATGCTCCATTGTGATTGTTTTTGATGCATATCTTCAAAGAGTTGATTGAAAGTTTTAAACCTGGGAAAAAAGAAAAACAAAAACATAAGTTTTGTGAAAACGTTGCCTTGCCTTTCTTTCAAGATTGATCGAGAAACTCCACTGCCAGCTTCCGCACTAGAGGCTGGAGCGCCCAGAGACGATGAAGAGAGTCCCTGGGCAGTGAGGCATTGAAGGGCCTGTAGATGTTGCTTTAGGGAGTTATAGAGCATGTTTTATAAATTGATACAGACCTTCACCCAAGAGGTACGCTGATATGCCGACGCATGTTGCTGGACAATTCTGCGATGAATTTGAATCCACTCATCTCCCAGCAAATCTTTTGCTTCTGACCTGTGGAAATATCTTACTCCATTGTCAATTTTAAAACTGGCTGCTTACTTCTTAACCGAGCGAACAATGTAGTGGATGTTGTTCATAAGGAAAAGGGACAAGAGCGCGGGGTCCTTGTAATGTTTCGCTTTCACATCGAGATTAGTTTGCAAGGCCGCCATGATCTTAAGTGTGTTCTGTCCAATGTGAGACTCTTTCTTGTCCAAATCATCGCTTTCCTTGTAGAGCTGCCTTATAGTCTTCTGGTAACTAGGAACCATCCAAACTATGAAAAAAGGATTGGAAATACTTGAACTTACTCAAAGAGGAACTTCACGTAGTTGATAACATAGCTAGTAAGAGGATGCACTGTGCCATCTTGTACTGGTGTCTTCGTCGCATCCTTCTCCACAGCTTCGAGGAATTCATCGAACGTTTCTTGAGCAGCCAGAGATAGCTTGCTCGTCAACAGAGCTGCTGACTCTCGTAATGGGGCCGTTGCCTCTCCAGAAAAGATAATGTCGATCTGCAAAACGTAGAGTTGTGATCCCAATGCACGCAAAAATGAGATCAAGTTACCTCGGGTAAAAGGTCTCGCATTGTCTCATACATGTCAAGCAGAACAAAAAGCTTTTCGGGGGACCTCTTACTTTTGGCCACAGCCTCGCCGAAACTCGCAAGCAGGTTAAAGTTGGGTTCCAGAAGCGCAACTATGCACTCTTCTCGGTGCGGTTCAAGACGATAGAAAACCTGGTCACAAGTCTTACGTTCTGCAGCAAACAGGAGTTTGACCTGACACCAAGTTGAGCCATAAGATCGAATCCATGGCAAAGAACGAACTCACCGAGACTTTCATAGACTGAATCCAGATTCCAATTTTTGACTCTAAAACTTCCCACTGCATTTTCTGCACGTCCTCCTTGGTCATGCTCTCCACTCCAAGCTTCCTTAGGCTGTCCTCCAAGAAAGAAGATCTAACTTCCCTGGAATAATATAGAAACACTAAGTCCAAGCTTTATATGCATGGTAGCGATATGAACCTGTAAGCTTCAATGCACTGCTCGTGATGGCTCGCATTGATCATTCTTTGGGCCATATCCGCCAGCTGAGGAACGGCCTTTGGGGCAATAACGACTGGCAAAGTTAATGGAAGAGTCTCCTCCACTTTCGCTCTATCCGCACCGGAGCCTGCATGCACAACCTTCTCAATCATCAAAGTCTCACCAGACGCTCCAAACGCATTTTGCAGCCGCATGGAACTTGGAAGAGTTCTGAGCAACTCTGCTGGATCAACCGGCTTACTGCACTGGCTACTTGTCAGCTTACAAAGATCCAGTAAAATACCTGTGTACCTACCTGTGTTGTGTTAGATGCTCTCTAAATTTGTCTTCCAGTTTCGTCATGGCTTTCAGAAGGAGATTCCTTGCATGCTTGAAAGCCGCGTCGCTTGTCTGGAAACTCCGATGGAAATTGAAGAAATCGACGTTGGTCTTGAGCTGGTCAACAGCACCCAGGTATGTGGATATGTCATCTAGTGGACCCTCGACGATTTTCGGCTCAACCTGCATGGAGAAAGACGTAAGTATAATACCTCCGACCTCGACGTGAATTCTTACCTGACGAGAAACATCGAATTGAGTGAGTATTGTTTCTGCTGCATTGATGGTTTGATCGATGTTATCGTGAACGTTCCTGATAGCATGCGTTCGAACCTGTAAAAATGGACAGTTTACTAAAGAAGCACACAAGGAAAACTAAACAGGCAGAAGAACTCCAAGAAGAAGTACCAAGAAATTCTCAGCACTCAGATCTTCCTCTTCCTCCTCTTCATCACCATCCTCGAGCTCATCATCCGAAAAAAGGCCAAGACTACTCTTCCGTCTTGCCTGTTTGAGCAGTCAAGTTTTGAAAAATGGCTTCCCGTGACCAAAGATACCGGCTTTGTATCTTCGTCAAGGTCATCCAAATCATCGTCGGACAGAAAATCTATAGTGTCCCGACGCTTTCTACGGCTTGCTTGGAGACGCTCCTGTTGTAAAGAAAGAAAAAGATCTACCTTAAAATTTTCTCTTCCCCAATCTAGAATGCAAGCAATGCATCATCCAGCAACACAATCGACCGATCCGTGCAGAAATCCAGCAAAATCTTCACACCACAATCCAAACCTGAGTGGGGCGCATTGTCGTTTGTAGCGCCGAGAGCCGCTGATCGAACGATCCCAGGATGCGCAGCATTTGATCGGTGATACCCTGGCTCTTGATCAAGCTCTCGCGCACCAGCTGCGCCCTCGCAACGACCTGATTGAGATCGCCGCCGCTGCTCATGGCAAGAAATCACGCCCAAACCCTAGCGAAGAACACTGGAAAAATACCGCCCTTTTACCGTTCGTAATGGCAGGTATATTCCCGTCCTGCTCGAGGTATATGCTTTCAACGACACATGCTCGCCTCGCAACCGTGACACATGTCACTCTACGCTATGAGATCCACGCTGGAGGTGGAAATTTTAGGGTTCTTCGAGCGATGGCGAGCGGCAAGAGGAAGATCGTAGCTGCGGTGGACGATTCCGAGGTGTCGGCGTATGCTTTCACCTGGGGGCTCCAAAATTTGTTCCGTCCCGACGATCATGTTGTGGCGATCACTGTTGCGCCTTTTGTTGGGGCCGATGTTGCGACCGCGGACATGGTTGGAGGTAATGCTGTGTGTATTTGAGGGAATGTGCTTAGAGAGTGCTTGAAAGGGAATGCTAGATCCACTTTTGCTTAGATCTTCACTTGCATTGATCTCTTCTGGTTTTCTCGCTACTTACGTAATGTGTTGTTCTTTTTCTTTGCTTTGCAGAGTACACTGTTCCAATGACTCTCTCTCCAGCTGAGTCCGAGGCTGCCCAGAAGCAAGTCACGGAGAGTTCTAAGGCGCTGATTTCTAAGTATCTTAAGCAATGCGCGAATGCCAATGTGGGTTTTTTTTCGTGATTTTCGTTTCCAACCGTTTTTTTTTTCTAGATTTCTTGCGAAGGTGAGGTGGTGAAGGGAGAACCCGGGAGCTGGATTGTTGATGAAGCAAATCGGGTTAGAGCCGACATGGTTCTTGTTGGCAGCCATGCCTACGGACTTATCAAAAGGTTTCTAAAGCTTGATCTACAAAAGTAGGCCGTAACCTGCGTTTTTCTTTTGCAGGACATTGTTGGGAAGCATTAGCGACTTTGTTCTTCACAACGCGAGCTGTACTGTCGTGATTGTTCGACAGCCGCCAGAAGCTTTAAAAGAGCATGATCCTTTGTCATCGGCGGGACTGCCTAGAAAAATCGTGATTGCCGTCGACGATTCCAAAGAGGTAAGCCAAGAGCAAGTTTCGTGCTGTGCAGAAAATTAAAAACTTTTGCAGGCTGTGCAAGCGTTTTCGTGGGCCCTTGAAAACTTCTGCAGGCCATCAGACAAAGTTGTGCTATATCACGTTCACAATCCCGTCACTGTTCCTGTCACGGCTCTGGGAACTGGTAAGGCATTTCTCGTTTTAGTCTCTGTGTTCCTGGATGGAACATAGATTTAAGTCGAAAGCCAGAGCTGATCACTTTGTCAGGGGAATTCGGCGTAGAGGACGTTTATATAGCTCCTGGAAACGACGTCGAGGAGGAAGTGAAAGCGTCCAACGACAGCCAACTTCTCGTTGAGAGGTTCATGAAGGAAGTGCCAAAGGTGCCTCTCACTTTCAAGCTACAACGCGTTTTGACAAACTAAAAAATATCGTTCTTTTCCTTTCTTGTAGGAGATTTCTTGCGAGGGAATGGTTGTCACTGGCCTGACGGAGGCTAAAGTCTGCGAGGGCCTTGTCACATTGAAAGCTGACGCTGTTGTAATAGGAACTCAAGACCGGAGTGTTCTTTCCAGGCAAGTTTTTCTTCCCCTCTTTCGTGCTTTAAGATTTGAGTTTCCTGAGTTTTACTTGGAATTTCTTCCACTTTCTTATGCTTTTAAGATTCGAGTTTCTAGCTTTGTGCCGTAAGTTTGCTTGAAACTCCGTGGTGATTTCTTTGATCGAATTCGTGAATTCGCAGCGCTTACTGTGATTTTGGTGTGAGCTTGATTCATCACAAGTGACAGTGATCGATGGTTTCTTTTTTATCTCGTCACAGGACGTTTCTCGGTAGCGTCAGTGACTACCTCGCGCATCACAGTCCGTGTCCACTGGTGGTAGTAAAGAGCACAAGCAAATCGGAATAGAAAAAACAAAAGCAATAGTATTTATTGTTCTCAATGCTCACAAATGGCGCTTTTGTGACCGTTGGATTTACGGTGCCAGATGCGGTGTGTTAGAGCTTAGGGTTTGGTCCTTCCTTCGAGCATGGCGAGGAAGAAGCATGTCTTGTCAGGTGACAGGAGAAGTTCCAGGGCTCAAGGGAATGCCCCGCTCCCGGCATTGCGTCGCGCAATCGCGCTGTAGGTCTTCCATCCTAGGGTATCGTCTATGGCGATGGCGGAGATGGCGCCAGCACAGCAGCAGCAGAAGATTGGCAAGCCGCCGTCGCCATTCGCAGCTCCAATGCAGCCGAATCAGGTATCGCTCCAGAATCACCAGCTCCAGCCCCAAATCCAGAGCCAGCAGCAGCAAATTTTGAAGCACAAGCTCAAGGAGAAGAAGATTTTCGGAGGCGGCGGCCAAGGGGCGACTGCCAGTCCTTCTCCTCCACCTCCGCCTTCTTCTGCGGTTCCTGCCGCTGCTGCTCCATCTCCTCCTCCTCCTACTCCTCCGCCCGCCACTGCTGCTGCTACTGCTATTGCCGCTGCCGCCGCCACAGCTCCGCCCATGCCTGGAGGAGCCAAAGAGAAACCCGATGCCGTGGAAGTGGAAATGGCTAGACAGGATCTAATGCGTGTGTGTAACCCAGATATCCATCGGCCATTCGTGTCCCTGGAAGACGCTTGTGAAAGGTATGCTTCCTCCATTTCTCTTTCTTGTTTAGAATTTGGTTGCCTGGTAGAATTCCTGCGAATGCTTGAGTGAATTCCAAATCTTTTGTCGATGTAGCCTTTCTTGTAGTTTGAAGTAGTCACTCAAGTTCTGATTTTGTGACGCCCAATGCTAGCTTCCTCCATTTCTTTCTCTTGTCTAGAATTTGGTTATCTGGTAGAATTCCTGCGAATGTTTGGGCGAATTCCACCTTTGATGTCGACGTTTATTCGAGTCTTTTCTGTAATTTGAAGTAGTCACCCAAGTTTCTTCGTTTCCGATTTTGATGCTAGCTTGGTTTCTTTCCAAAGCTTGAATTTTTTCGTTCATCCGAGTCTCACTTTTCTTCCAGACTTCTTCCTTACCACGTCGTAGCCGAGTACGATATGGACGAAGTGGAGGACAGGGCCACCGACGGTCACGGCTCCGTCTCGAGAAGCCAGCTCTGGAACGAAACGCTGAGCTCCAAGAGCCGGGAATACTTCCTGGCGCTCCAGAAGCAAATCGCCATGTACAACATGATCGTGAGGAAGCGGTGGGAGGGAGAGATGCGAGGCGAGGAGCGGCTGCTCGTCGAGCAGCTCCTTCTCGAGGACGAGAAGCAGAGACTCTCGGAGCTGCGGAGCCAGATGGAAGCGGAGAAGGCAGCGGCGGAGGCCAAGATGAAAGAGGCGATCGCTCACGTAGAGAAGGTCCGAGCCGCCGAGGCACAGGCGCGAGAACAAGCAGCAGCCCAGCAGCAATCCAGCGGCGGCGGCACCGCCTCCAAAGACTCCTTCCAGGCGGCGGACATGAATCTCAACGTCGAGGCGAGCGATCCTCGCCAGGCCGACGACGCCATGCAATGGGTGTCGGACGAGGACGCCGAAGAGGAAGAAGGTGACGAAGATGGTGAGGGTGAAGGTGAAGGTGACGGCGAGGAGGGTGACGCTGATGACGGTGAAGGTGAGGGCGAGGGGGACGAAGAAGACGAGGGTGACGGTGACGGTGATGGTGACGGTGACGGTGACGGTGACTCTGAGGACGAGGAGGATGGAAATGCCATGCAAGGTGGGAGCTGGAGCCGTGGAGCCCAATTCGATCTAAACACGAGGAGTGGGATTTCTAGATGATAGAGAGAAAATATCGCTGTATTTTTTAACCGCTAGGATCTAACCAAAAACCCATTTTGCTCTGTCTAAAAGTAGCCTCTACGCTTGCTAGAAAGGGGAAACGCTCATCTCGCCGCGTACGCGGGATTTTAAAAAGCTCATGGATATTCTAGGGCTTTAAGGAATTTCCCCTTGTTTCTTCCAGCTATGGGGGACGAAGAGCAAGGGCGGGAGAGAGGGGGAATGTGGAGTCTTGATCAGATTGATCAGCCGCTTGGCGACGATGCGGCGCGAATCCAGAGCATGCAAGCGCCGGCAAAGGTAAAGGGATGATTGGCCTATTTTCTCCCTGTCCCATGCCTGATTCGAGCTAGAATTTCTCCAGAGGGTTTCCACCGCCGCGACGCTGCGCCTGGCGTTCCTCAGCCTTGGTGTGGTCTATGGCGACATCGGGACATCGCCGCTCTACGTCTTCTCCAATATCTTCCCGGATGGGATCCAGCACCGCGAGGACGTGCTGGGAGCGCTGTCGCTGATCGTCTACACCATCACTCTGATTGCTCTGGTCAAGTACGTTTTTATCGCGCTACGATCGGGAGACAATGGAGAAGGTATTTCTCATCGCTAGATGGTGATTTAAACTTTGTGGATTCCTTTTCTTTTCCAGGCGGGACTTTTGCCCTGTATTCTTTGATATGCAGGCATGTCAAAGTTAACACTATCTCCAACCAGCATCCCACTGATCGGGAGCTTACCACGTACAGTTTCCGGGCAGTGCCCGAGAAGTCTCATGCTCACAAAGTAAAGGTGGCTTTGGAGAAAAGCCAAACCTTGCAAAAGATCCTGCTTGTGCTAGTCCTACTCGGCACAAGCATGGTTATCGGTGATGGAATGCTATCTCCTGCTATATCAGGTTCGTCCTTTGATTTTTTTTCTGGAGGAAAACGTTGCCGATGCTCGTCATTTTGCAGTGCTTTCGTCTGTGAGAGGACTCCGAGTTGCTCATTTGTCCGTCTCTGATGGTCAGTCTTGCCGTGATGTTTTCCTTGAGTGAAGATTAATCTGAGCTTTGTTACAGATGCTATCTTGGTTCTGGCATTGGTGATTTTAGTTGGGCTCTTTTGCATGCAACGCATTGGAACTGCCAGAGTTGGATTCATGTTTGCTCCAATTATCTTCGTCTGGTTTCTTGCGATTGGTGCGCTTGGAGTTTACAACATCGTTGTTCATGATCCATCTATATTCAAGGCCCTCAACCCGCACTACATCATTCGCTATTTCGGAAGGCAGAAGACCAGAGGCTGGGAGTCACTTGGAGGAGTTTTTCTGGCTATAACAGGTCTGCTGACACATCTTTCTCAAAATCTTGGCATCTAAACATTTATGACAGGTGCCGAAGCTTTGTTTGCTGACCTTGGCCACTTCTCAGCTTCCTCGATCCAAGTAAGTGTCCTGGATCGTTATATTGTTTTTTTGGTTTTAATTCTTGATTTATGCAGCTGGCTTTTACTGGAATGGTGTTCCCTTGTCTATTAGCAGCATACATGGGACAAGCTGCATATCTCATGAAGCTACCCGACGACGTGAACGACGCTTTCTACAAGTCTATACCGAAAACACCAGCAGTTTACTGGCCTGTGTTTGTAATCGCAACGGCGTCTGCAGTCATTGCGAGCCAAGCAACGATCTCTGCAACTTTTTCCATCATAAAGCAAGCCGTGGCTTTGGGTTGCTTCCCGCGGGTCAAGATTGTTCACACTTCGTACAAGTACCTCGGCCAGGTCTATATTCCCGAAGTCAACTGGTTGCTTATGGTTGCGTGCCTGGTGATAACCGCTGGGTTTAGAGAAACAATGCAGATAGCAAATGCTTATGGTAAGCTCACTTCAAATGCTTTGGATAATATGCTGATATATTTTTACAGGGATTGCTGTTGTGGGAGTGATGCTTGTCACCACTCTACTAATGGCTCTCGTCATGCTCATCATCTGGCAAAGAAACCTGTTGCTGGTTCTGGCATTTCTCGTGGTGTTTGGCTCCCTCGAGTCCACTTACATCTCAGCTGTTCTCGTCAAGGTGGAGAAGGGAGGCTGGGTACCTCTGGCAATTGGAGCCTTTCTGCTCATTGTCATGTACACATGGCACTATGGAACCACTGAACGGCACAGCTTCGAACTCCAGAACAAAGTTTCTCTCGGTTGGATCCTTCGGCTTGGCCCGGGGCTCGGCATGGTCCGACTTCCAGGAATCGGTCTCTTTTACACGGAGCTCGCTCACGGGGTACCTTCCATTTTCTCTCATTTTCTCACGCACTTCCCAGCGATCCACTCAATTCTCATGTTCGTCTGCGTCAAGTATCTCCCAGTCAGCACGGTCCCGAAAGCCGAGCGGTTCCACATTCGGAGAATAGGCCCCAGGGAGTTTCGGATGTACCGCTGCGCAGTGCGATATGGCTACAAGGACCTCCACAAAAAGGACGACGAGTTCGACGAGCTCCTCTTCCAGGCGCTCCGCTCCTTTGTCCGCTACGAGTCCATGGTGGGAAGTGTGGAAAACTCCGACGACAGCATCGAGAGCTCCCGGGTGGTATCAGCGGAGCCGACGAGATCAAACATCGACTCGGTTATGATCAGCACAGCAGGCTCGCTGGACGAGATCCATCGCCGATCATCGGTTTGCTCCTCCAGGGGTGACGAGGAAGACGAGGGCGATTTTCTAGGCAGGGCCAGGCAAGATGGGATCGTGCATATCATGGGAAACACCGTGATGAAGGCCCGCGAAGCGTCGAGCTTTTGGAAGAGAGTTGCCATAAACTTTGGCTACAGCTTCCTCCGGAGGATTTGTAGAGGCAGCAGCGTCGTTTATCACATCCCTCACGAGAGCTTGCTTCACGTTGGAGTGGTATATGATGTTTAGCTCAATCTTAGCAACAATCCTTGGAGGCAACTGTAAATTTTATCCAAACAGCTCGGATGGATCTCAAAAGAGCCTCCTCGTTCACGAATGTTCTTCACGAAGATTTGCTTGCACGTTTTAATTCTAGATTTTAGATTCATTCAAGGTCGTGAGCCCCAAGATTTATTTCACAACTGCCACCATCCTCGTCGTCGCATGGGATTTCATCCTCGTCCATGCCTCGAGAACATAGTCATTCAAGGTCGGGAACATGAACCAGTGCGTCATCTTGCGGGTTTCATTGGCTGGGTCCTTGTCATCGGCCGGAAACAAGCTCTCGTGTTATTAGGGTTTTAGGGTTCTTGGAATGTGTGCCAGCTGACTTAACAATACATTTGCTATTAATGTTTTTTCCACAAAATCCAAAAAGAAGTAAGGCTTGCTCGGAGGTTATTTACGCCCTTTGCTTTTACTCCTCGGCGAATCCAAGCTCCGAGAGCTTGAGGTGGGCTTCGGTGTAGTCCTTGAAGAACGCCTCCTCGTCCTGTTCCAAGTGAGATTTATCTCTTGATCACGCAGAGTTCTAAGCGGAGATTTCTCTTTACCTTGGCGTAGAGCTCCACGAGCGGGCGGAATGAGGGATCCTCCACGAGAACTTTGTCGGTTGGGAGAGTGAGGATGCCTTCCTGCTCACCGCTCAGCAGTATCCTGGAGCAAACACGATTAGATCGGAAAGAAAGAAAAGTGAAATCGATCGACTTACGTGAAGTAGGAGTTGTCAAACTGGAGAGGGTTGTGCGTCCATGGGCCCTCAAACCCGGATCGTTCCTTGTGTGCTCTTCCCTGGACAAACACACCGAAGTTTCGTAAGATTTTTTTTTCTCTGAGACTGATACAGCTTACCAGAGTGTGACCGCCAGAAAGAGCCACGATGTCCTTGTCCGTGAGACCCATATGCTTCACAAACACGTCTCTGAGATGATCCGCGCCCTTGGTAGCATCTGGAAGCCGTCCCTCCATTGGGCATGTTGGCTTGTCCTGTATCCATCCAAGGCATTCTTTTGTTACATCATTCCACGAGAAACCAATTGAAAATCGAATATCAAAACTCACCACTCTCCCGGGATGGAATGGAATCTCGGGGCCACCAGTGACTTCCACAGCAACGACTCCCGCAAGCTGTAAAAAAATAATCTATAAGAACCAAGTCTTATCGAAATGGCACTAATTCCAGACACTATCGTTCGAGGTAGCTAGCGTCACAGCACTAAAGGGAAAAACCAAACGAAGGAAAGCAAACAAAGACGAGTCTTTACCTGATAGAAGTCGCCATAGCTCAAGATGGGGAACTGGTCCTTGATTGGCTGTAGCAGCTTCACGGCGATGTCGAGACCATTGTTCGCGGTATGGCCAAGCTCCTCAGCGAGCTTCATGGTGCCAAAAGGACCACCGGTCTTGGACTGGCAATCGTAAGTTCCCGCCGAGTGCCATCTATTCCACAACGCGAGCCGTGAGCTTTACAAGAAGAGGCGAAACCAAAGAAAAAGAGGACAAGAGACTTACGCAAGGCGGAGAATCAATGGCGCACAGTTCTTCTCTGCGAGAAAATATTGGAAACAAAGGGTCAGAAAGACTAGAAATTTCAAGCTTCGATCCGCCGATCTTGCCTGCGATGAAGCCGCGGAGCTTCCTCTTGGCCTTCTCCACGGCGGCCTTGTACTCCTCGCTCACGGCCGGGTAAGATTTTCCCATCCTACTCCAAGGAGCGGCGTCAGAGGGATGGAATCGCGAAGCGCAAGCGCTGATTTACCTGATTCACGATCCCGATCGAAGAATGCGCCTTCTCTCCTCGCCCTTCCCTCGAAGACGCAGCAGCAACACAAAAGGAGTGTGAGGGCCACGAGCCTCTTTTAAAGCATCCCAGCCGTCCCGACAGATTAGATCCAACGGTGGAGAGCTATATTTACGACACCGCCCCTCAGCCGTCCGATTTGACCAATCGGACGGCTGCCTCTAGAAACATCTACCTTACCCTAATGCCGAACAAATTAGAATATTCCTCAGCGAAATAGAAATTATTTTTAATAGTAATCTACCATTTTGTCACTACGCTTTGGTTTTCTTTTGGGGCCCCTGTATCTTCCATTTTCATAAGCGGCGCGCGCGATCAGGCCTTGGATCGTCGTGAAATCCTCGGAGTTGTAAGGATCGATCGAAGCTCTAGCAAAACCACACACGATTCAAGAACCCACGAAGTAAAACGCGTGAAGAGTTTAATGTTTTACCTGTGAAGCAAGTCTCGCAGGACTTTCCCTTGTTCTTCGGTTACGTAGTGGATGCAATTTCTCGGGCACTGGCCGACGGCTAGCTGCACAGAGTAGTCGCCACTTCTTCCTGGATTTTCACACAGATGGGATTCGACCAGGCTAAGTAGCTCGTTTTAAGTTATGCCGAAGCAAAGAAAGGATTACCTTGAACAACAGCTTGAGCTCGTCCAGTTTCTGGATTGTATCTAAACACTGATGGAGCTCGTTCCACGCAAGAGTAAGGACAGGCTGATTTTTCAAAGGAAAACAACGAAGTTAAGATCAATCACACGAAAGAGGAAAGCTTGCGAACCTTTTCCAATGCAGAGAAGCTCATTCACAAAGATATCATTCGCTTCTCCTTCCGGCTCTTGGAAAGGATCGAGAGATCTCCTGCATTGATCAATCGAAATGTAGCAAAGAACGAGGAGAGAAAAGAAGAACCACGAACCTCTTTTGTCCAATGCTTGGTTTAGTCTCCAGCGAGAGCTCCTGCAAAGAATTTCTAACCGAGGTTCTATCACAAAAACTCTTTCCAACGAGTGAACAAAAGATGTGCTCACCTCGTAAGCCCGAATCAGGCACTGTGTGATGGCCTCCGGATCCTCGGCGCCCCGATACACATCCGGGTGGTACTCCTTCACCTGGAAATCCGCGAAATCCATCACACAAAACCCTAGAGCCTCTCTCTCACAAACCTTGGATCGAAATGCCGCCTTGACATCGTCCAAGCCAAATCCTCGCGCTGCCGAGAGCCCCAAGATCTCGTGTGGCGCCGCGCTCCTCATCCACGATAGAAGACCGGATTTTCCATCCCTAGAAGCCGCGCAGCGCACTAGAGAGCCTCGTCTAGCCCACGCATTGCCGCCATAGCAAAGAGAAATCTCCATAGTGACAAGAATATTTCTCTTCATATTAATAAGCTGACGTGTACAGTCCACGTGGCAAGATTAACGTTACGAGATCGGGCGGCTATAGTTGCTTGTTCTAGATTCTTCACGCGTGGGTTTAGGGTTTAGGCGGTTTTCTTCCTCTCGGCGCAATGAGGCAAGCGGTGGGAGCACTATTGCGGCATGGCTGGAGGCGCACGAGATCGTCCTCGTCGCTTCTGCAATCGTTCCGGGCAGCCGATTCTCCTCGCCAGGTAGCTCGATTGAATAGGGTTTTTCCAAAATCTTAAAGAACAACTGTGGTAACTGCAGCAATGGCTTGCTTGCATTCCTCCTCCGTCGTCACGGATCTCACCGGCACAATCGTTTCACACAGCCCATTTTTCTTCTGCAGCCGTGAATTCTTCCACCTCGAAAGAGGGGCGGCCGGGATCGGCCGAGGAGCCCCCAGTGGAGGATAAAACCGAGCCAGTCTCAAAGTCTGGGAAGGATGAGAAGAAGGCGACAGGAAAAGCCGCCGCCGCCGCCAGCGGTGGCGAAGGTGGTGCTAAAGGCGGCGATGGTGAGAGGAAACCGGGTGATAAGCCGGGAGCTGCCGATGACAAGAAAGTGCCCGAGACAGCCGAGCAGAAGCTGCTGAAAGAGATCAGAAAGTTCGAGCAGCAGGTTCGAGAAAAGGACTCGATTATCGAGGAAAAGGATGAACTTGTGAAGGAGCTCAAGGACAGTGTTCTTCGTGGCCTTGCGGAGCTGGAGAACTACAGAGAAAGGGCAAAGCGAGAGCAAGAGAGCTCTCGCAAGTTCGCCGTCCAGGTATGATTTCTCTTCGTTTTCTTCTGTTCATTTGTTTTGGTTGAGTCAAGGCTTACAAAGTTTTCGATCTGTTCCAGAGCTTTTCGAAGGATTTGCTTGACGTTTCGGACAATCTCTCGAGAGCTTTGTCGTCCGTTGGACAGCCCAAGGACGCGGAGGAAGCCAAGAAGCTCCTCGACACTCTTTTAGCAGGAGTGAAGATGACTGAGAAGCAACTAATGCAGGTATGGAAAAGAAGTTTTGATCGATTGTTTCCGCGGTTATCATTCGCTCTCTCTCTCTCTCTCCCTCAGGTTCTCAAAAAGTATGGAGTCGAGCGATTCGACCCGACTGGCGAGCCTTTCGATCCAAACGTGCACCTCGCGGTCTGCGAGATTGCTGATCCCAGCAAGCCCGCCGGCACCGTCGCCAACGTTTTCAAGGTGTCCACGAGAGTTTTCTTCCCCATGGTTGTTTTTCTAAGGAGATGGTTTGTTCTTCCAGGTTGGATACTTACTCCACGAAAGAGTTCTCAGGCCCGCTGAAGTTGCTGTAGTGAAAGCCGTGGAAGCTGCCGCTTAGAGAGAAATTTTTGCTTGGCAATAAGCTTTTGTTTAATTTTGTTTCTGCCCTAACGGAATCTAACTTGAGGACATTCTGTATAAACCCTAGGGAGGTTTAGGGCATAGCAAAATGGCGAAGACGAAGAAGCAGGCTGCGCGGACGCCGTCGCGCGGTGGGAATCCCAAACATTCGCTCGATGCAAACAGGCGCGATGGCGGATCCGGCGCCGCGGGAATGCGCAGCTCCGCGACCGTCCGGCGGCTCAATATGTATCAGTCTCGTCCCCGGCGCGACAGCAAGGGCAAGGTTTTGCATCACGAGCTCCAGTCCAAGGATCTGCCGTCGACGAGGATTCAGCCCGATAGGCGATGGTTTGGTGAGTGAAGATCTCGTCTCAATTTTCCAAGATGTATTTGCTTGATTGGGAAAAATGTGGTATGAAGGGAATACGAGGGTCGTCGGGCAGAAGGAGCTGGAAACGTTCCGGGAAGAAATGCGTACCAGAGTGTCGAACGCCTACACTGTGATTTTAAAGCAGAAGAAATTGCCGATGGCACTCTTGACTGATCGACCAAAGGTCTGCCTAAAGTTTTTTTCTTCCATTCCTTGGAGCATGACAATTTTTTTTCTTTGTAGCAAGCGAGGGTTCATCTTTTAGATACCGAAAAGTTTGAAGACACATTCGGTCCCAAGAAGAAAAGGAAGCGTCCCAAACTCGGTGTTGATGATTATACTAGCCTGGTGCAAAAATGTGCCAACACACAAGGTGTGTGAAAGCGAAATACTGGCATGCTTCCTTCTGATCTTACATCTTTCAGAGGAGCACGAAAAGAGTCTTGAGGATGTTACCAAAAAAAAGAGTACAGCGTTGACCGAAACGGATGGCTTGCGTGACCAAGTGAGGCATACAATGTTTGAGAAAGGCCAGAGCAAGCGTATCTGGGGGGAACTATACAAAGTTATTGACTCTTCTGACGTGGTTGTCCAGGTTTGCGACTGTTTGAATCTTATAAAATCCTGTGTCTATGATGTCTTTTAGGTGCTGGATGCCAGGGATCCCGCTGGCACTCGGTGCTATCATCTCGAGAAACACCTCCGAGAAAACTGCAAGCACAAGCATCTGATTTTTCTTCTCAACAAGGTTTGCCATCAGCTAAGGCTCCAAATCATTTCCTTTCTTTGTCTTCCAGTGCGATTTAGTACCAGCATGGGCTACAAGAGGATGGCTTCACGTGCTCTCTCGTGAATATCCGACGCTCGCATTCCACGCGAGCGTAACCAATCCGTTTGGCAAGGTAGATTTATGCGTATGATAATTGAACTTTTTCACATGTTTTCGCTTCAGGGATCTCTTCTCTCTTTGCTGAGACAACTTGCTCGGTTGAAAAGTGACAAACAGGCGATATCAGTTGGTTTTATTGGCTATCCAAACGTTGGAAAGTCTTCAGTCATAAACACTTTGCGGACAAAGAATGTGAGCTTCAAAGAGTTTCCCGTTTTTTAGCTTAACTTGTTCTGTATTTCTACTTTCGGCAGGTCTGCAAAGTTGCGCCACTGCCTGGGGAAACAAAAGTCTGGCAGTATATAACACTGACGAAACGAATTTTCCTTATAGATTGCCCCGGTGTTGTGTATCAAAATCATGACAGCGAAACTGACATTGTCTTAAAAGGCGTGGTAAGGAGAAAATGCGTTCTTGCGCTCTCACCTAACAATCGTCATACTCTGCAAGGTCCGCGTGGGAAATCTGGATGACGCTACTGAGCACATAGGAGAGGTGTTACAGCGAGTGAAGAAGGATTATCTAAAGAGAGCTTACAAGATACAAGACTGGAATGACGATGAGGACTTCCTCACTCAGCTGTGCCAACAAACGGGCAAACTTCTGAAGGTAATCATGGTTGGAATGCATTTTGTCCTGATATTCGAGCTTGTACAGGGGGGTGAGCCAGATCTGAAAACAGCAGCGAAAATGGTGCTTTACGATTGGCAGCGGGGCAGAATTCCGTTTTTTGTTCCTCCACCACACTTGGACGACGCAAACGCGCCCTCTGCCGAAGCTTCAACGCTGGCTCTGGTGAGCAAGCAGTCGCTGAGGAACATGCCAGTCCAGAGGAACTTGTATGACGCGGAGGATGAAAAACCAGCCGCCGGCATGGGGGATGAGGGAGATGAAGCTGAAGCAGCAGGACAAAGTGATGGTGGGAACACGGACGAAGAGGATGACGATAGAGAATTAAAGAAAGCGGGGAGCAAGAAGAGGAAGCGGGGGAAGGAGAATAAGGAAACGCACAGGAAAGTGGAAGTGCAAGAGGCCAGGGAGAAACCAAGGAACAAGAAAAGTAACGGGAAGAGGATTCATGAGAAACCAGAGAGCAAGAGAAGGAAAGGAGGCGATGAGACGCAAAAGCAGGAGACCGGCAGCAAAGTCGTGGAAGAGGAGTTTACGTGGGAAGATGCTCTTAGAATGGCGCAACAAGGAGTGGAGCAACAGTGACACTGGGATCACTAGAAATGATACAGCCCGAGTCGTTTAGAACAAACACTTTCTTTGCTCACTTGCCATAGTAGCGTAGTTTTAATTAACAATTATAGTGTGACCTGGACATTACAAATGCTATAATTGAATGTTAAATAGATTAAAGTAAAAGAAGTTTTTTGTGATGAAATAAAACCTTTTGTAATCTATAATATTTTAAAATGATTTTATTATAAGTGTACAACAATTATGCAACTTTAAATTGTTGTTGCATAGTGAATGTTTGTTCTATCAAATGGTATAATTTTAATTATTAATGACTTTAAAGAAAATATAGAATTTCATATAAATTTTCAAGAATTTATTAACTATTTATTTGGATTTCATAATCCTTAAAAATGTATGTAGTAACAAAAATAAAACTAAATATATGAAAACTAAATTAAATAAAACTTATAAAAAATGATGTAAATTTTATTGAACAATAATGAAAAAAGGGATACAAAAGTAAATATGAGTTAAATTTATATTAAATAATTAAATAATAATTTATTTTATAATAAAAATGACTTTTTACCAAGATATTTGCAATTTGTGCTCACAACACTTTACTAACAAAAAAAATAAATCACTTTAGTTTATTTTAATCCTTGTATTTAAAATCCCATGCATTCTTTGTCACTCGGTATGCATTTTCAATTTTTTAAACCCTAACATTATAAACAACTTTTAAGAGGATATACAACTTTAGTGGATAACCCTAGTAAATGGGTGGGGAAAAGTAAAGGTCCCTCTATTGATATTTAATATATATAATATATATTAATTTAAAAAATATTATATTTTATTAAATCTATAGTATTAGTATTACTTAAAAAATAAACAAACCATGATTCAAATTCAGTATATAATTGTAAATCCTCACAAACTCAATAGTCTTTAACTTTTTTGTAAAATAAAAAACAAAATTTGTAAATATTTACTATATAATTATTTGTAATTCTAAATAAATTTATAATTTGTAGATGCATACTTAAATAAAAATAAGAAACAAAACAGATAAAAATTTAATTAAAAGAAAATATAATTGTTTTTCTGAGTACAATAAAACATAATTTTTGATATAGAATAATAATTTAGAAAATTTCTAAATTTAGTACAACAATTAAATAAAGTAAGGAAAATAAATTTATTTATAAAATTAATTGTTATCATTGTATTTTAAAAGATAAGCTTAACGATAGTTTAAAGATAAAAGTTGACCATTAACTTAGGATTTTATCAAAAATACTAAACAAGATCCAACAACTCATTTAACTTGTGCTTTCCAAAAAATTATAGAAATATAACCCACTATATATTGTCACTTGAACAGCACGTATAGTCTAAATTTAACCAAGAAAAGTCAAATATGGCTTAATTTTATGATCATAAAAATGTAACAATAGGATGCCTATTTGTGATTAGAAGATTCTCTATTTTTAAAATGAAATTCAACTTAAGAAAATTCAAAATTGCAAATTAAAATTACTTCAAGCTAGCATTGAGAATTACAAATGAAGGGAGTTGTGAAAATTTGAAATTTTCCAAGAGATCATTGTGGGAGTAAAAAGTATAAAGAATAAAACTTAAAGCCTAATTGAGCTGGGTCAATTAATAATGTACCAATAATTTTTTGTCTCTAAGATATGGGAAGAGAGTTGGAGAAAGTGCGATGTAGAGCACTGAAGCACACCACTAATGATAACATTCTCAGAGAGTGGAATATAACATTAACACTCTTTTTGAAGCTTGAATAAATAATGGACAAATAACAGACTTGAAATTAGATTGTTTATTGCTGATCTCATCTTGCAAAGAAGACATTAAAGACATATTTTAGTTGATGGGATGGATTATGCAAGATTCTAGACATGTACTTAGATTTAGTTAGTGTGTCCAACAAAAGCTATAAACTCCACATGGACTTCAATTTCTAAATCCTAGCACTTATATAAAAATTGTAAATTTTCATATAGAAATGAAAATTGAAACAACTCCTTTACCACTTCTTTATTCTTCTTCCACCCACCTAAATTGCATTTATTGGTAATATTTGTTGTATTACATTTGTCACATGTGGCTTGTTACTACTGATGGCTTCATTTAATGCAAATGATGCACCATTTGCTTTGCTCTTCAATGCTTGGCAAGTAACTAGGACTCTTCACAAGTAACAAGTTTTAGAGGCATGTAATGTGGTAAAAGTGGCCACAGAAAACTATGATTACTGCTAGTGGTCTGAACATATACAACACAAGCTTTTGATTACAAACATAACCTTTGTGAAGGAACTACAATGAATTGTGGAGTTCATCCTAGATTTACAAGTGTTAGTGCTAGAATTTTTATCTTTTGTTGATACACTCACCTTGAGAATGTTATTACAACCCTCCCTGAGTGAGATTTCCATCTTGTAATCCATGATCACCTTTAAGACTTTATCTTTTAAATTGCATAAAAGCCCAATGTCAAACAAAGATTTGCCCTTATGAGATGTCATACCATGGTAGAAATATGTCTTTGGGAATTCTGGTTATGACTTATATTATATTAATATTTCCTATAGTATCCTCCAAAAGCATGCCAAGCTGCACCATATGAGCCATTAATATAGCTTAGTTGATCTGACCATATAATAAGTTCGTTCTATAAATCATAAATTCTACTACCTGTAGTTATTCTGAGTTATGAATTTTTTTACTTACCATTTGCATGCTTTTAAGATTATTAATTATCAAAGCTAAAGCTTCTTTAGTATTTCCCATTCAACCCAGCAAATAAACTCTTTCCTTGACAAAATTTAGCTTTGTGCAAATGGTATATGCTTGTATAAAATATATGATATCTTAAAAATAAAAATAAATTATTTTTACTTAATTGCTCAAAAAAGCAAAAGCAAAAGCAACTATAGTTTAAATTTAGCATATAATTGCAACTGAATTCAACAATTTATAACCTTCCCATAAAATAAAGTTTAAAACTTAGTACTTTCTTCCTCATAGCATGCAAATAATCATGTAAAAAATGCCAACTCTTGTTCTGCATTAAGTGGTCTAAAGAGGAAACCACCTCACTTGCGCTAATTTTATCTCTTTGTTGAGCAAGTAAGTCAATGGCTCTTTTTATATCGAGCTTAATTAAAAGAGCAATCAAGAGTTACACATGTAACTTAAATGTAATTTATATTGCTTTTAAGAGCATCATAAAGATGGTGCTTTTTGATAATATCAAAGGCTATAGCTTTAGCACGTTTTCATGCTGTTCCTGAGAAAGGTAAAAAATAGCAAGTGCCTACATTAGCTTACGCAACAGCAGTAGATATTATGTCGATATAATTGTGGGTAGGGCCAGTTTGGAACCAGCTTTAAGAATGGTTCATGATGCACAGGATTTGAAAGCAACCGAATGAGGACAACCTTAATAATCCATGTTAGAGCTCATGAGCTGCACATCCGGAAGCTCACCTCATATATAAATGGGGCCAGAACAAGAGCATTATGCTTAGAACTTGGTAGTCCACATCCCTGCCAGTTAAGATTTTAGCAGAGGAATCAGCTACTTGTACAAATAATTCTAGCCAAACCTTTGTCAAGCAACAACCATGTCCTTTGGTGAGACTATGTAATATTAAAGGCTCATCTCTAGCAGCCCAATGACCACTTCCTACACACGAGATGCAAATGAAAAATTGCTTTTTAACATCTTATTATACCAGAGAATGGAGTGTGAGCAAGATTATAATCCTGAGCCTTCTAGTGCTCATAACCATGTATAGAAAGCACATCTATTGACATTGCCAATTCTCCCTTATTCTAATTTAAGATGCATGTTTTAGCACAGCCTCAAACTTCCATCCGCTGCAAGTGAATAGTCCTTCTAAAAAGCTGGCCTCAAAGGAAACCTTTGAGTACCTAGTTAGTAGGCCTCAAAGGAAACCTCTAAGTACCTAGTTAGTAGGCCTCAAAGGAAACCTCTGAGTACCTAGTTAGCAGGGTGAGGTCTCATTCGTTAATTCCAAGACAAATCAATTCACCAACTGTGAACTGAAAAAATATAATTGATTCATGTACCTGTTTTGCAAAGGAGTTTGTTGTGAACCACACAAAATTCTTCAGATGGAGCTAAATTACAAATATAATAATCAAGTTGTACTTCAACATACTTTGTCTCCAGGAAAAGGTTAAACCTTTTCCCAAAAAAGCATGGAGGCCTCCAGGAAAGTCAGCTCCTCTCACTTTGATAACAACAATCTTGATGCAACTTCCCCAGCCAACTAACAAGTGCATATCATCCTGAAAAACAAAACCATATACTATACAAGAGAAATATCATATAAGTAGGAACCTTGGTTTTTCAATAAAAGTAAGATGCTGCTGTCAGGTTGGTTTTACACCCTCATTATATGCAATAAGGCTCGTTCTCCATTTAACTGCATGGATTGGAACACCCAAAAGAAGATACCATAATAAAACTTAAAAATAAAATGGAGAAAATGTGCTACCTGATCTTTAGATGAACCAAACCAGCCTTTATTATTGAGTATGAGATTTCCTGCCAGTCCCCCACAAGCAAAACGATTTGTTTTGCAGTAGTTTGGATCCAAAGTGACGGCATTCAGAAGCAAAATTCTTCACCTGGATGGAAAAAAGTTATATCCAAAAAACCTGATAAGAGACCTTGGCAATCCAGCAAATGCACCCTGCCCCCGTGCGTCCCCAGCGCAATCATCCGCGTGACGGTGATGCATGATATCGTGTCGCTGGAGAGAAGGCTACCTCCTAGGCCCTGGTACTTGAGACGCGGCTCTTCCTCCTCGTCATCCGAGGAGGAATCGTCGGCGGCGTGGTCATCGTTGCATTCGTTGTCGGCATCGTGGCGCTCCTCTTCATCCATCAATCAAAGAACCCTCCAGAGCGTCTTCACGGGAACACATTCCTGTCGGCGCTGGCGATACCTTCGATCTGGAGCGCGATCTTGAACAGTCACGCGAGAGATTAGCCGATGAGGAACGTGGTGCCCTGGAATGCTCTGATCAAAGTCCATGCCCTAGAAGGAAATATATACCCAGCTAGGGCATCTGGATGAATGCTGGAGTTTCTTCAATTGCATGGTCGACCGCCTGGAAAAAGATCACCGACGCTGGAGACATCGAATCGACACATATTGTCTTTGATCGCGTGCCTTTGCGCAACATCTACACCTGGAACACGCTCCTCGCAGGCTATGCCCAACTGGGGCACCTTGATCGAGCGCTGGAGATGCCCGAGCGCGATGTGCCCACGGCTTGCTAGACCATGCCAGGCGAGTCGTGATATACTGGACCGCCATTGCGGCCACCTAGCCGCCGCGCTCGAAATTGGACGGCCACGATCTTGGGATATGGCAAATGCGCGGAGGTAGTGGCGTGGAACAGGGGCACGTGGACAACGCCGCCGTCGAGAAGGTGCGGTCGACACGCGGAGCATCTTGACGAGGCGCGAGGAATATTCCACGCAGTGCCCCGCTGGTGGACAAATGCGCAGCTCTGCTCGCGGAATCTCTTCGCGGCGATGCCCGAGCACGACAATGATCCAGGCATACCGAGGCCGGGGATTTGCCGGAGGCGCTGGAGGTCTTCGCGTACATCCCCTCGCTCGACGCGAACACCATCTTGCACGCTTGCGCTGTTCACGACGACCTCGCAGAGCTCCGTGAGCTCCTCCACAAGATCGTGGATGATCCTGATAGTGGGGCATCTGGCGCTCGCGCGGGAGATCTTCGCCGGGATGGCTTCGCAGGACTTCGTCGCCTGGAGCGCGATGATCCTCGCCTACGCGAACACTGGCGCTTACGCCGAGGCGCTGGATCTCTTCCGGGAGATGGTTCTTCACGGATTCCAGCCCAGCGACATCACCTTCGTCGCCTTCTCTCGGCTTTCGGCCACGCAGGGAAGCTCCGCCAGGGCGTCGAGTCCATGCAGGATGGGTTCTTCGTGCCGCCCACGCTCGTCTACTTCCACTGCATGAAATGTTCTCGGCCGCTCCAAGCATCTGGGAGACGCCGAGGAACGATGGTGTGGATCACGCTGCTGGCGGCGTGTAAGAGGACCGACAGGATCCTGGAGCGAGTGAAAGAGCCGACTGCGTATGTTCTCGTTGCGAACGCGCTGTGAGAGCCATCACCGCGGCACTGGCCTTCGTGTAGCAAGCCAAAGTTTTTGCACTGCAAATTACCGCCATCCTTTGATAGATAACTGGAAGATCTGTCTATCTCGTCATGGTTTACAATGTTGGTCTTCTCGGTGAACTCTCGAGCTTTGTGCATTGAAATGCTGCCATGACTTTGTTAGCATGTTCTTTCTTGGGGATCTGCTCTTTCAGATTTGTTGAGTTCTATTTATTTGATTCTTGCAATGCACCCGAATATCCGTACCATATGTTGGAAATTTAAATAAAGGCATATTCAAATATTCTAAAATAGGGGTGGATGGATATAATTTCAAATTTAGAGCTAAAAATATACCTTACTCATTCCATGTGAGGCAACTAATTATCTGCCTGTACCAAATGAGTGCCTTTAACCAAAGGCATGGATGCAATTTCATCTGGTGACATAGAAATGCTGGTGATTTGCGGTGGCAATCCATTCTTTCCAATGCAGCGAGCCCGGATTTCTTGCCCCGGAGCAGCCATCATCTGAGCAAGATCCCTATGTTTTTCTCAATGTTCCGCCAGGGTAATTTCATCGTTTCCTATTGATCAATAGATGCGCTCATGCCTAATCGATGCAGTGATTCCGGCAGCTATTTTGATCCGCAGCTTTTCCACTTCCGGTTGAAACCTTATCATCCCTGGGCTTGCTACGATAATTCTACTACATCTCAAGCAGTTTGACATCATTTTTGCTCCTGTGTTTATTTTAATAGTTTAATAGTTTTACCAGGGTGGATTTTCACGACGAATCCAGATAAGCAATCAGCCAACCCCAAAATGCTCTTTCTAGCATGATCCTAAGCCTCAAGGATGATAAAGTAATGTTTTCCTTTTGGTACCTTTTGGCTTTGGAAGCTTTAAGATTGATGAGCTTCTTCTAAGCATTCGATCTTTATTCATATGTAATAGTGTTATATTATATCTGTAACACTCTTTAACCATTATTTTCTTACATAATGACATTAGCCCTTTATATTACCTTCATTACTAGGTAATAAAGGTAATATTGATTTCTTATTTTTCTTATTTGAGAGATATTTGAGAATTCTGCCTAAACTTTAAGAAGAGAAATCTTGTATACAATACTAATATAATGGTCAAGGTTTACCTTGACTTTATAAATATGGTTTCTTGTAAAGATGATTTTCTAGTGAAGGAAAAAAAATATCAATACAACAACATTACCAAGTGAAACCACATAGAAGAGAAAGATAACATGATGTTAGAAAAAAGAGTGTTGGCTAATGAGCATTTGATTTATGTCTATCATTGCTTATAGACTGACCTTTCAGAGCAATTTGCAAAAGTGGGTATGACTTCTTTAACTTATTAAGCGATCGATCCATGCCAGCTGACATCGAATCAATGGCAAAACGACAAGGACGGACTGTGGCCCAGAGCATATTTTGTCAAAACTTAAAAAAGCCTTGACATCCAAAGATCAAGACTTATATATACAGCGAAAAACGAAAGGCTGGCTATGTAGGAACAAACCTGGTAATGCAATAGGAACGTTGCATGTAAGTTCAGAGTGGGGAGGCAGCGTCATGAACCATCCCCGGGGCATTGCCACCGCCATGCTTGCTGAGATTGTGGAGCTGGAACTTATGACCATCGTGGTGAGATCCATCCTGGTGGTAGTAAGCCATGCCGCCGTGCCGTGTGAGATCCATCCCCGCCACCTCGTCCTCGGGGCTGATCCTCAGCAAGTTGAGCCTGTGCAACATCCAAAACAGCGGCCCCATGGTCACCGTCACCCATCCCACAATCGCAAGAATGTAAACAATCTGCGCCGCCAGGAGCCGCCCGCCGCCACCCAGGAAGAGGCCGTACGGCGTTGACGTGCGTCCGTACACGTTGAGGACGTGCTCCTCCTTGGCGAAGAGCGCGGTAAAGATGAGTCCCCACGTCCCGCAGCCGCCGTGGAGCTGCGCCGCCTCGAGCGGGTCGTCGTAGTGGAATCTCTCCGCCAGAAGGTTGAGGCCGATGAGCACCCAGGCGGAGACGAAGCCGCATATCAAAGATGCCCAGGGATCTACCACCGAGCAACCGGCGGTGATGGCCGCGAAGCCCCCCAGAAGGCCATTGCACACGTCAACGACGGCCCAGTGGCCCGTCAGGAGGCGCCGCCCGAACAGCGTGGTGATGGCGGCGGAGCACCCCGCCAGCGTGGTGGTGACGGCCGTACGACCCACGCCCGTCCAGTTGCCCGTGAAGCTGCCCGCGCCGTACGGGGAGAGGATTGTGACGAAGGAGCCCGGGTTGAATCCATACCATCCAAACCACAGCAGGAAGGTACCAAGGACGACCAGCGATGCGCTGTGGCCCTTGAGCACGAGCGTGGCGGCGCCGCCCTTGTCGAACCGTCCGATGCGTGGGCCCTCGATCTGGGCCGCCCAGAAGCCCGCTAGCCCGCCCACGAGATGGACCACGCCGCTACCCGCGAAATCGATGGCGCCCGAGCCGAAGAGCCGGCCGCTGGGCTTGCTCGCCGAGGCCCATCCATCCACGGACCACGCCCAGTGCGACACGATCGGGTACACGAATCCCGAGAGGAACGTCGAGTAGATCAGATAGGCGACGAACTGGGTGCGCTCCGCGATGGATCCGCTGGTGATGCCCGCCGCGGCGATGGCGAAGGCCCACTGGAAGAGGAAGAAGCTGTAATCGAAGCCCGCAGAGGAGTCGGGGATCTCGGACAGCGCGAAGAAGTAGCGGCCGATGAATCCGTTGGTGGTGCCGCCGGTGCCAAACGCGAAGGCGAATCCGAAGAGGTAGTAGGAGATGCCGCCGCAGGCCGCGTCGAGCACGTTGGTGAGCATGATGTTCATGGTGTTCTTGGCACGCACGGATCCGGCGCACAGCATCGCGAATCCCAGCTGCATGGCGAAGACGAGATAGGCGGAGAAGAGGAGGTAGCTGTTGTCCACCGCGAGCTGCGTCGCGTAGAGCCTGTCCGCCACGAAATCCAGCTTGGAGCACAGCGCCGAGGAGGCATTGGCCGCGAGGCCGAAGGAGAGGAGGTCTTGGGAGGAGCAGCGGATGCTTGCCACTGCGGCCAGCGCCATGGCGAGATAATTGCGATGCTTTTGGACTGGAATTCAATCGATTCTACCGCGCTACTGCAACAAAGAGACCAATTGGGACGATCTAGATTCCCCCAATCCCCCCGATTCTCTCCTGGATCTCTCCAGGATATCTGACACTCCCGTGCGCCAGGGCGCCACTATATTGGCATGCGCGTCCCCGAGCCCTAGGAGAATTCATGCACACTGCCTCTTGTGTGGGATCCTCCAAGGTTGGGATTTCTCCCAAACCTTGATATTCTGGAGGTCCGAATGGCCAAGTCAACGGTGGCGATCCGTGGTAGACTTTTGATCGTGCGGAGAGGCATTTCCACAATTCCATGGAGAAATTTTGTCATAGCGGGCGCTTACTTTGACAAAATACCTTTCCATTGTAACGTAAAAAATTAATTAGGGTTTAACTTTGGTAACATCAATAAGTTAAACTTTGTGAATAATATTTCCGTAAACATTTAGCCTACGCCAGCTTTTCCGGGGAGTTCTTCTCCTTCTCCTTTTAGTTCTTTTGCTTTTAATTTGGATGGAGCCAAAACCCGGTGGAGGTCAAATTTTTTCCTCCCGGGGCAGGTTGGAAACGAAAAATTTGAAATTCGATTCCATATCGCCGGTGTCGGCAAAAACCTGGGTGATCGTCGTCCAGGTCACAATTTTGCGATCGGCCATGGAATTGACGAAACTCCAGCATTCCTCCAGATGCCCTAGCTAGGCATAGCCGCGGAGGATGCGATCGTGGAGCTGCCGGCATCGAGAGAGGTCTCTGGAGCGAACGCAGGATTTGATGAGCTCGATGAGCGGGAAATCCCATTTTCCTCCATGCGAAGATGCTCGGTTTTGGGTTCGAAGGAGTATTTTAAGACAGGAGTTTCTCTGGAAATTGGAGTTGTGGTCAATGGAAACCCCTGGTACGTACCTTGCATCGATCAAGGCCTGCTAAATAGATCACTCACTTTTTTTCCATGGTTTTCGTGGGTTCCCATGCTAATTCTAATCACTCTCTCGAAGGGTAGTTCCCACAGCGCCGCTCTGGTTGAAAGGGCGCTCAAATCTTTTCAACCATCTAGACAAATGCTGTCGGTGAGGCTATTGGAATTCAACGCTGGAAGGTCGGCAATTGCTACAAGAAATGATGGTGATTGGCTGAGCTCGCTCGTTTGCTCTGTTTTTTCCAGCTTTTCTGACCGGTTCTTTGACTTTTTGTTGCAGTGATTGATCGAGGGAAGTTTCCGGTACTTGGCTACTAAACAATAGCAGGAAAAAAAACCAGCAAATAGGCTGTAGAAAGTAGTCTTGGAATTCTTCCAATTGTGGAGGAGTTCCACAGTCCATTTGCTCTTGAGGTTTTGAGGCGATGGAGCCCGTCGAGGTGATTGACGTTGTGGTGCTCATGGAGGGGCTGGAAGAGCAAGACGAGAAAGCAGCGTGTGTGACTGCCGGAAGGCTTCGCGGAGGCGAGGAGTGACGAGCAGGCAACGCCGGCGTCATGGACTGACCAGGACGAGGGTTCCTCGTTCTGCGAGGCATCATCGCCGGCGTCTAGCCGGAATAACTGTGGAAGTCCATCTCCACTTTTGTGCAACGACGAATCTAAGCACAGGCTAGCCATCCAATGCGTGACTTCTTCCACACCGCCGCCCTCGTTTGTTCTTTCTCAAGTACATTCCTGGGTATCAGGTAAGAAGAAATGCTTGATTAATTTTTCAGGGGTTCTATTTGGCATTCTCATCTAGCTTGTCCAAGAAACAACATTTCCTATTATCTCGTGACGTGGGCCTCCATGATCCCCAAGGAATAATCATGAATTAAAATACAAGGGCCATCTTAGCTCTTGCATGATTCAAGCGGCGGAGATTTGTGGAGAGACACCGCCATGGCTTGCAAGGGAGCGAGCTTGCATTTGTACGGAGTGTACGGTGAATTGTGCAAAAGGTTTTTAAAAGAAAAAGGTGGCTGACGGCTGGCGCAAAAGGTGGTATAAAAGGAAATACCATCAATTAGAAGGAGGAACATGGGCTGGATGAGCGTGGATTTTCTACTGCCACCGGCCCACGACTCCAACCTTCTTGCCTCCGGAATACACAGCTTATGCCATGCAAAGGCCATGCACACACCAGCGGTGAGTTGGAGTTAAAGCGAACCTTTGTTGTTAAGTTCCAAAGCCATCATAGAGATTTTGGGAGTTTTCCTCGCCACCGTTTCCTGTGGCAGGCCAACTTTCTGGAGGCTTGGACTCTTCGAACTCCCCGCTGGGAATGCTAGAGTACTGCTGTACAATCCGTTCAACAGAAACTATCGTCCGCTCCATGTTGCATAAGTTCCAAACAAACTACGACTGGAACGCGCTCAGATTCAACCCATATGTCACGGCCAAACTAGCAGAAAAACACGAAAGAGCAAGCTATTGTTGCAGCAGAGAAAAAAAAACAAGGTGAGTTATTGAAAAGGATATAAATGGGTTTGATCAAACATATATTTCTACTAACTGGGATAACTCAAATATTTACCTTTATTTCGCTTCCCGGGACATCTCCTCTTTGTGAGGAAGTTTTTAGCTATAGCCAAATTTTTTTGTGAAAGATCCAGAAAAAAATCATGTAGTCAGAAAAACAATCCAGAAATGTAAAGGGATTGAATTAATGTCAATTGACCCCTCTGGGTATTTTATAGGATGCGGAAAAAGGAAAACCGACCGATGAAATATATAATCAAATATCCTAAAGTATATTCTCCTATGAGCTCAAGTTTAGGGTCCATGCCTTGATACAGAGTTTACTCAAGTCAAACAATGCGACCCTATTTTGAATCTAATTGAATAATATTTTAAAGTAAAATTTAGGGTTTATATGGATGCATTGGTGGGAATGCGGGTGCGGCGGAGGAGCGGGCTCTTAGCTCGGGCATCCGATTCAACCAGGAAGAAATCCAGTTCAAACTCTCCGATTGCAGCCTCGCCAGCTCTTCCCGGGAGCGTCCACATTGAAGAGAGGATTGCTTCGAAAAATCTAGTGCACAGGTTCTTCTCTGAGATTCCTTTCTCCTTTTAGATTGAGATCCGTGTTTGTAGCTTTTATTTGGATGAAAAATCATGGCACGAGATTGGAGGAGCAGCGACCGCAACCAGGGATGACTCAACCCGCTGGAGGTCGAATTTTTTCCTCCCGGCGGGCTTCCCAGGTTGGAAAAAAGTTCATAGAAGCCAATCAATGCTTGCAGTTTTTTGGAGGTTTTCTGAGAGCTTTGGTTTTCTCCAATTTTCCGCAGGATCCGTTTCACAAGATTACTTGCAGTACATGGTATGGCAGCTTCCAACAAACATCACGGGTTGGATTTGCAGGGCTTTGATAACTTCAAGCCTTTTGCAAGTAAGTTTTTCTCGCACCTTACATTTAGTATAGTCGAATCTCACTTTCAGTTGTAAAGGCTGTAGGATTGAGCACAGAACCTGGATCAGCTGCTGCAGCGTCAGCAGCTATAAAGTGATCCATCGCAAAACTTCAAAGAAAATAATGAAAAGGAGAGAAACCATGGTTAAAGTTTTGTGTTCCTTGCAGATGGGTTACCAAAGACGGGCTTGGAGCTGTAGGCCGGCTTTTTATTGGTTTGATCTTCTTTTTCCTCTTTTTTCTCATCTTTCATGTATTTTCAGGTGGTCGATTTGGAGGTGTCTTTGACCAGGATCCAAAACAGTGGCGTATGTATGCGGAAGTTATTGGAAGTTTTGGCGGGTTAGCGCTGTTCATATTGTTTGAATGTTTTCATTCGTTTTGTTTTCCCTTCTCTTTGCAGTCTATTTGAGCTCGCAACTCCTCTTGCTCCCGACTATTTCCTGCTGCTCGCTTCTTTGGGACACTTAACTAAGGTAAGCGTATAATTCATGCATAAATCGATCTAGATTTGCAAATGCTCTTTTATGTTTTCAAGGCTGTTGCAAGAGGACTCAAGGATCCATCTTTCCGAGTGATCCAAAACCACTTTGCAATCTCGGAAAATGTTGGAGATGTGGCTGCTAAGGTTGTGATTTATTCTTGTTAGCCAATTTTTCTAAACTTGATATTCTTTCCAGGAAGAAGTATGGGAAGTCGCTGGCCAGCTTATTGGCCTTTCACTTGGTGTCGCGCTTCTTGTAAGTCTAGAATTCATTGGATGTGGATTTACAAACGATTTATTTTGCAATAGTCGACACCTGTTGTTGCAACTTCGTATTCCCAGCTCGCACTATCCTGGATGATAATTCGCTCGTTTCATTTATGGCTTCGATACCAAACACTTGCAGCTCTCGAACTCCCAACAGTAAGTCCCATTCAATTAAGCTTTCAGTGACACTAAGTTGCCCGGAAAACTTTTAGATGAACTTCAAGCGGCTAAATGTGTTGATAATGGAGCATATTCAAGGCCGCCCGCTATCAGGTAAATCTGACAATCTTTTCCTTTACCCTTCATATTCTTTGAAATAAACCAGGAGTTAGCGAGTGTAATAAGAAGGAAAATCTGATACTACCTTATACAATGCTAATGCCTCAAATTCGACTGGGCTGTTCCTTAAGAGAAGTCATTACGCTTGGCAAAACTCCACTAGAGGTGAGAAACTTCCGGTTTTCTTGTCTCTTTTATTTGAGCTGTAAAGCTATTTTCTCAGATAGAAGAAGCATTCGAGCTTTACAACTCAGAGAAATATGTTCTCATTGTGTTCTCCAAGTCCAACATGGGAATCCTTCTCAAGGTATTGTCACAATTCCTGTCCTCTTGTTCCTGTAATATAAAATGTCGTGTTTGTCAGGATGGATGCGAGAACACCACACTCTTAAGAAGCATCTATCAAGCTCATGTTCTCTTCCACTCCAAAAGCTTTGACACCTTCACTTTGAAGCAGAGCCTGACCAGCATGCAAAAGAGTTTTGCCTCGTTTCTCGACGAGCTCGTAGCTGCCGGATGGAATCCCAGCAAGCTAGTCGTCAAGGTTCCAAGTTTTTCGCCGACTTACACCCTCAAAGCAAACGTGGAAGAGAGACAACAATGAGACAAGGCTGGTATTTATCTTTTCTCTCGAGATCGAGCTCAATGAGCTCAAGCGAAGCATCTCATCACACTGGCGCCCCGGAAGTTTTGAGCATCGACACCAAAATCTTTCGCGGGGTGTTCGGAGCAGCGGCATGTTTCTTGTGGAGCACCGAGTGATTGTTCATCACAACAATGTCCCCGGCTTGCCACTCAACTGAGACTTGTTCTTCGTCCATGATCTTTAGAGCCGCTTCGACTGCTTTGGCTGGCAGCTTGCTTCCATCGCTAAACTCGAAATACTGGAACTGGGGAAACCACGGTTTGGCCGATCCAATACTGTTAAACCACACCTTGTTGTTGCCGTGAACACCACTGTCGAGCTCTCTAATCCCTTTCCTCGTTCCTTTGCTCAGGATCTCTTTGACTCCTCCATCGTCGAGCCAGAGGAGCGTTCTCGATAAAATTTGCGCTCTAGAATTCGAAACATCATTGTAGAAACAGTTGGGATTTGCACTTACTTGGCTTCGGCCTCAGCTCTATCGTTGGTCTCGTAGACTTTTTTCCATGATTCCTCGCTGCGTAAGTTGTAGTAAACGAGACCTTTGTTCTCGAGATCTTCCGTGAACTCCGGAAACTCTTTCTTGATCCTATTGTATATGGCTTTGCCTTGGACGATCCCGGTGGCACCGCCGGCGCTTGGCGGTGGAGCAACCTCGCAGAAAAACACGACCAAGTCGGGATAATCCGCAAGCTGTGGCAAAGAAACAAGAAACAAGAAGTCTTAGAATGAAAAATGGGGAAAACCTTACGTAGCTCATTTCATTGTGAAATCCAAGCTCGGTTTCAGAGTCGAGGGCATTGTTTGTGTAGACAGGCCCGACAAGGTGCTTCCTCGTCGCAGCTCCAGCTCTGTAACCCATGCTCTCATATCCAAACGCTTCCACCACTCGAGCAAATTCCTCCGCATTTGACACGCTGAATCCCCGGAACAAAATTGCGCCAGGGCTCCCAAAGAGTTGACCTTCCAGCCACAGTTTTTGCTTCTGGATCCCAATTGCGAGATCATTGCCGAAGTCTCCACTGCAAGCTCCTGCACAAGCGCCCAAACACGGGAGCATACAGATCGAGAAGAGAATGCAGGAACATACCAGGCGTAATTACAAGAGGGAAGGCGTCCGTGTTCTTGGGATTGAGAAGCTCCGCCATTGCCATGGCTAACCCACACGTTTTCAATGTTTTCGGTCACCTTTATACATAAAGATAACATAATCATACTTTCCTCTTTTTACTGCATGATTAGATCGGAGTCGATCCAAAAGATATCTTGGAAAACGCTTGCAGAAATACGAGCTCCTCTTCTCCAAAAGCTTCCCCGGCTCGTCGTATTAGCTATGCGTCCTGGAAAAAGAGACGAGGATAAACTTGAAAAAAGAGAGAGCAAGATTTCCAACCAACGTGTAGGGCTAGAACGTAGTCGCTGTCCATCAAAGTAGGCAGCCAGTGAGCGATGGTGATAGAACTTTGTCGCGATGGTGGATTGGATCATTCCTGTTGAGGTATACACTCTCTATGACATGATCCTAGGTGGCAGGAGTGCCACTTCATTGATCCAGGTGTAGGCTAGAGGTGTGTCTCTTCATCATGTATATATAGCTATGATATATACGACTATACTGGGAGTCATCCACCATCGTGTAGCTTCCGCTCTTCTTCTCTTCATGGTATCGGAGCCCTGAGGGCTTCAGATCCTAGGACGATGGCACTGGCCGAGGAGGAGGCCAGCGAGGATGACGATGAGCCACCAGACGTGGCTGAGAGGTGCCAAGATTTGGCACTGTGCTGCATTGAGCGCCAAGGTAACGGCACTAGCAAGCTGAGCAAGGCGCTAGGGTGTGATCGAGCAGAGACTGGCCCGGAGGCACTGGCAGAGGTGCTGAGAGAGGGCTGGCTTGAGGCACCGAGTGGTACTGGAGTGCTGAGTGAGGCGCTGGAGAGCAGCCGAAGGCGCTAGCAGAGGCGCTGAGAGGAGGCACCGAGCAGAGACTGCACTAGGGCGCTGAGCAAGGTGCTGAGAGGCGGAGAGACTGCACTAGGGCGCTGAGCAAGGCGCTGAGGCGCTGGCACAGGCGCTGAGAGAGGGCTGGCGTGAGGCACCGAGCACAGGCACGAGCAGATAGGCACTGGCAGAGGCGCTGAGAGAGGAGAGACTGCGATCAGAGGCCGTGAACGAGGCGCTAGGGCGTGCAAGGCCTCGTAGAGACTCACCAGAGGTGAGTGCCGGGCCTAGAGGCACGAGGCACCGAGGGCTGGCCAAGCAGAGACTCCACTGGAGCGCTGAGTGAGGCGCTGCTGTGAGAAGGCATTGGCAGAGGCGCTGAGAGGAGGCACTGAGCAGAGACAGATTTCTGTCGTGGATATGACAGAGTGCTTGGATGCAGAAGGAGAGTGATCTCAGATTCATGTCATCGAGATCGAGAGAGCTCCGATACCATGAAGAGAAGAAGAGCGGAAGCTACACGATGGTGGATGACTCCCAGTATAGTCGTATATATCATAGCTATATATACATGATGAAGAGACACACCTCTAGCCTACACCTGGATCAATGAAGTGGCACTCCTGCCACCTAGGATCATGTCATAGAGAGTGTATACCTCAACACTCCCTCTCGATCTTATGACATGAATCTGAGATCACTCTCCCTCTGCATCCAAGCACTCTGTCATATCCACGACAGAAATCTGTCTCTGCTCAATGCCTCCTCTCAGCGCCTCTGCCAGCACCTTCTCACACCAGCGCCTCACTCAGTGCTCCAGTGGAGTCTCTGCTCGGCCAGCCCTCGGGGCCTCGTGCCTCTACGCCCGGCACTCACCTCTGGTGAGTCTCTGCGGGGCCTCGCACGCCCTAGCGCCTTGTTCACGGCCTCTGATCGCAGTCTCTCCTCTCTCAGCGCCTCTGCCAGCGCCTCTGTGCTTGTGCCTTGCACCACTCTCTCAGGGTCGCTCTCTCACACCAGCACCTCACTCAGCATTCCAGTGCCTCAAGCCAGCCCTCATCGTCTCAGCCTCGATCAAGCCTCCTCGGCCAGAGTCCTAACGGCTCTCTCCCTCTGCTATGGAGCCCTCTCACAGCCCAGCACTCAGCATTCCTGCTTGCCTCTGGACAATACCTCTGTCCAGTCCACCAGCGCCCCAGCACTGCACCTCTGCCTGCAGCCCTCAGCCCTACAGGGTGCCCAGCGCTCACCTCTGCTCGGCCAGCCCTTGGTGCCTTTCTCAGCACCCTAGTGCAGTCTCTGCTCGGTGCTTCCTCTCAGCGCATCTGTAAGTGCCTCAGCCAGCGCCTCTTCTCAGCGCCTCTCTCAGCGCCTCAGGGCCGCTCTCTCACGCCCTAGCGCACATCACTTAGGCCTTACACCAGCCCTCTCTCAGCGCCTCTGCCAGTGCCTCCGGGCCAGTCTCTACTCGATCACGCCCTAGCGCCTTGCTCAGCTTGCTAGTGCCGTTATCTTGGCACTCAATACAGCAGAGTGCCAAATCTTGGCACCTCTCAGCCATGTCCGGTGGCTCATCGTCATCCTTGCTAGCCCCTTCCTCGGCCAGCGCCATCGTCCCTGGATCTGAAGCCCTCAGGGCTTCGATACCATGAAGAGAAGAAGAGCGGAAGCTACACGATGGTGGATGACTCCCAGTATAGTCGTATATATCATAGCTATATATACATGATGAAGAGACACACCTCTAGCCTACACCTGGATCAATGAAGTGGCACTCCTGCTACCTAGGATCATGTCATAGAGAGTGTATACCTCAACAATTCCATCGGTAGCACTGTCCACGGACGCGGTGGCCTCGTCTGGGTGCCAAAACACGGCCTTGTTTTAGCATCACTCGTCCAAGGCCTGTCCCACGCTCCAGTTCTCACCGTTCTCCCACACATGTCACATGTTTTCCACATTACCTTTTCTTAATGGGTTATGGCTCGCCCGTTAACTTGATCCAACCGTTGGCAGCCGTTGGATTGAATCAGGTTTTCTGCAAGAACGTGGCTGATAACTGCCAGGTTCTCTAGAACCCAACTGCCAGCTGCCAGGTTCTGGAGAACCAAGCTACTAGCTGCCAATTCTGGAGAACCCTTTCATCCTTGAATAATATTCTTCCATGTGTCCGTTAACAGTCTCACCACAGCCCATTAAGGCCATTCTCGGGCACGGGCTCACTCGTTCCCTCCAGAATGCACTCGCCGGGCTAACACCCGGCTCACCCGTTCTGGGTGGGAACGTGCTCGCCTCACCCAGGAACTGCCTCTTCCTGCACAAGGAGGTCTCCGAGTTGGCATTTATCTAACAACATGGCCTTTTAGGAAATAGAAGATAGATAATCCAACACTAAAGAACAGCACATCTATTGAAAACAACATGTTTTTCACATTACCTTGTGAGTCCAGCTTCTTCCTGCACGAGGACGTCTCCTAACAACATGGCCTTTTAGGAAATAGAAGGATGACAGAACTTATCTCCCAGATTTCTGGATCTGAGAACTGTCCGAGGGGGTCGAGATTATAACAAACACGTTGAAGGATCGTCAAGTAAGTGGTACCAGCATCCTATTGGCGTCGTGATGAAAGTTGTTCACCTGATCTAGCGAGATTTTTGTTTGCTCTTTTTCTCTAGTTGTAGATTGGCAACGCACCACTCCTGGATGAGGCGGCGCAGGCAGCGTGTGGTTTGGGATGAGCGTGAGATCGGTGGGCGCTGCATCGTGGCCGGGCACATCGCGTGGTCTTTTTCCATAGGTGGAAGAATTGTAAACAAAACTCTAGGGCCAAAAGAAGTGGTCACAGGTATCTTCAGCACCACACAAGTCCCTAAGTCGTCTCTCATCGCCAGTGAGCTAGTCACAACTAGGAACGCAATCACCATCCATAAAAGAAGGCGGGATTGTTCTTCTCGGAAGCCTGCTCGAACTTTCCCACTTCTCATTAAAAAAAATACTCGTAGGCCCCTGATGCCCTATTTTCCTGTGCAAACTATAGCAAATCTTCGGGCTCCAAAGTCCTCTTTTCTCAGATTCCCACCTCTTGCGTACAGAGTAACGCTGTCTTCACCCTTGTCCGTCGTCTCCTTCTGCTGTCCAGAACTGTGACCCCTGTTCGTCCCCTGGCCGTGCAAAGAACAGTACCAAAGCATCCAGCCAACGCTTGCAAGGATCTGTGTTTAACCCTGGACGCAAGCAGATCATGCACGGATAGCACAAACTTGGGAAGACCAGCAAACGAGGCAATCCACCACACCCAATGCAGCTGGTATAGGATAGCTCTCTTGTACGATGCAAAAGCGATATCGCTAGATTCTTGACAGAAGCCAGCAGCAACGAGGAAGAAATGCGACCAGGAAAGCACTAGCAGCGCTCAAAGCTAGCAGATAGACAGCCTTGAACTGCTCGTCGAGCGGGATCTTGCAAAGATACTCACAAGCCAGGAGCGTGGCACTCGGATTTCGGCGTCGAATCTCCAGCTCTGCCGATGATTCGCGAATCTTAATCGTCAGGGGTACTAGAGAACATTCTATAAAATTATTTAGTAGATCCGAATATGCGCGTCACGAGCGACGAAAGGAGACCTTGACTGGCGAGAAAGTTTTTTCTTCGGAGGCAAGTTACAAAATGCTATATAATGCCGTTTCCTAGGGCTTTGTTTCGCCACGACCGGCCTCTTTCTTCTCCCTGACGATTCCCCCAGGCGCTGCGGCAACGCATTTTTCTAGCGCCGACGTCGCTCCATCCAAATCGGCAGCGATGATCGTCGGTAAGGCGCGAGAGCCAGCGCGTGAATCGATTACGCGCTTTTTTGCTCGCTGCTCTTGGATTTTCTAGGTTTCCTCTGATCGAAATATCGATGTTTCGCTGCAGCGGGGAGCTTTCTCCACCGATTCGACGACGAAATCCGCTTTGGGAGCTGCGTTGGAACGATCGCCATCGCCGCGATCTTCATTCTCTCCTGGCTTGTGAGTTTCTTCTTGTCTACAAAGTCCCGGCCGACTAGCAAGCTCACGACCGCATTCCCGTTCAAGATTTTCCTCTTTTGCTGCTTTTATCTGCTGATTTTGAGCGCTGCCAGTGCTTGCTGGGTCGCATTTCTTCATCGAGCACGGAGCGTGCTGTGGCTTGCGCAGGAGTCACTGCTAGCTGCTGCCTGGCTTGTTGCATCGTTAGCATTGGTAGCATCGCGCAAGAGAGGAGAGGAAAAAATCCCAGCGGCATT